GGGGCGGGGCATAAGCCATCTGAAGGTGTAAGGAAAAAGTAATTGTCAATATCCTGAGATGGTAAAAGGCCTTGGCATGGATCTATAAAAAAAAAAAGCAGCAATTTGAGATCACACCTATATGTACAATTCTATAAAATGTTTGTCCAGTCAATATATCATGTACATTTCCCTATGTCAGGAGTCAGCACATTATTCCTGCTTTTGCATAGTTTTATCTGAATGTAGGCATTACCATTCTTTTACAGTATTGTTTATGGTGTCTTTCATATTACAAAGACATTGAATAGCTTTTTTGTGCAAAGCCTAAAATACTTACTAACTGGCTCTTAAAGAAAAGTTCGTTGTGGTCTATGCTATTAAATATTATCATAAAATACCATATCAATAACTGTTTAACAGTCTACTTAAATGCCCAGCAGGATTTCTCTAATTTGTAAGAACCCAACACTGAATGTTTTTAATAACAAGCACAGCCTCTGCACTCAAAGGGTGGCAGGCAAGACAAGCCCAGGGAGTGTGAAAGAAGGTGTTACCTTGCCTGTGAGGTGCAGGTGCTGACACAGAGCTGTCTGCCAGGCACATGTCCAGTAGGGATCCTCCAGGTCACAGTAGCAGTAATACAGTAGCACTTCCCCTTCATCACTGCCCTGGCCACTATAAAAAGAAAATTGGAAAGAAAGTGTATTTGATCATTTCTGAAAGATGGCATGGCAAAAAAAAAAAAAAAAAAAGCATTCGAGTCACTGGCATAAGAAAGACAATTCAAAGCATACCCTGGTAGGATCAGAGGAAAGGCTAAGAAGGAGACATTCATGATAGCCTTTGCTCATATTATTGTTCTCCTGAAATAAGAAGCCACTCCTTTTTATATTTTCTGTATAGAAGACAGTGTCTGTGCTGAACTTTTTTTTTTAGGTTTTAATATCTAATTTTATTAATTTCTATTTATATTTTAATTTCTAATTTTGATATATAGTTCAAAATAACCAAAAAAGAAACATTTGAAATTAGTGGAAAAAATTTCCACAACTTTATAATAATCAATAGCATTCTTTACATAAAAGTCAATTTTTAAAACCCTCAAACTTTAGGACAAAAAATAAATGTTTATAGATTTATAGATTTCTCCTTTCCAATTCCAAAGTGGTTATTCTAGAATAAGCAGTCCACACATAAAATTTAGCTTAATCAAACAGGAAACAATTACCAAATGCAAATATTGATCCAAAGCACACATTTTATATATGTTAGTTTCACACTTCTCTTCTGTATCTTTTCTAGATAAAATCAGGAAATTGTAAATGTTCTCACTCCAAAATTCTGACAAAGGACACTGGCATTTTCAAGTAATTCAGAAAACGTACATCATCAAGAGAAACTCCTGAGTCATGGCAGTCATCTCTTGTGTTCGCAAGAGCCTCTGATGACAAGTCTTCTCGATTTCCCCACCGAAGACAGATCCCCTGTGCTACTAATGCAGATGTACCCGCATTCCTTTATCAGATAAGTTATAAATACTCCAAACTTATCGTGTCTATTTATATCAGCACATTTTTCACACTCTTTAGCATAGTAATCTCCCTTCCCAAGGAAGCTAATTCAAATATTACTCATTAGCATCTTTGGTTAGAAGGGCAATACAGTGTGTAGATGCTTTTAATAAGGGTTCTACCATGGCTAAGTCAAGATTGGAAAAAATCCTACAGGTAGATAGAGCTGTAACCTGCATTTTCTAAGCTCTTTACAAGTCATTACATAAAGTTCAACTCTGTTTGAAATTTTGTACATAATTTTGACAGTCATCTCTCCATGAAGCTTTCTGTAACACAGGTCTACTGGGAAAATAACCGAATATGATTCCCTCAGTCCCCTTCAGGACAGACTAGGTCTCCAAAGGGCACACAAAAGACAAGAACATGTCCAGCTGGTTCTTCACAATAACTTCATCTCAATGCAGCTTGTGGGGTAGGTAATGGGTCAGGGTCATGTCCCAGGCATCAACGAGATAAACTCTAACCCCTAAGAAAAGCCTCCGAAAGATGGTGTCCAGTTGAAAGTTGTACCAATAGCTATTGAAAAGGCTCACCTCAGGCCCCAGCTCTTGCACATTGGCTGTCCAAATGACCACCGTAGTCTTAGGGCAGGAGCTGGACCACTGCTTGGCAGATATTCCTGAGCCACCAAATGTACACTTCCAAGGGGAAGGTGCTGAAGTGAGACCACATAGCTATGGCAACCAGTGTTCTTCCCTCCCACAATACCTTTCAGCTCATTCGCCACATAGTAGAGCCCACTGCTGAAGATGGTGGAGAAGCAGATGGGAGGGCCATGTTAGCGGTATTTGAGCAGAATGTTGTACTTCTGGTCCACTGCAAGGGACTACCCAAGTTAAACTCCACTAAATCTGGCACAAATGTAGTTAAGGTATTCAAAGCATTGCCTGATTGTTGAATCACCAAATAAATGCACCACTTTTCTTTGTAAGCATTCTGTGATGTTGTCAGGGTCATTAAACTGACACCTTTTTTTTTTTTTTTTTTTTTTGAGACAGAGCCTCAAGCTAAGCCCCTGGGTAGAGTGCCATGGCTTCACCACTCACAGCAACTTCCAACTCCTGGGCTTAAGCGAGTCTCCTGCCTCAGCCTCCCAAGTAGCTGGGACCACAGGCGCCTGCCACAACGCCTGGCTATTTTTTGGCTGCAGCCATTATTGTTGTTTGGCGGGTCCAGGCTGGATTCGAACCCGCCACCTTAGATGTATGTGGCTGGCGCCTTAGCCGCTTGAGCCACAGGCGCCGAGCTGACACATCTTAAACTTCCTGGGCCTCCACTGATCTTTATAGTAATATCCAGAAGGAAAAGTTCCTGAGCCTTGAGATAGTTCTAGGTTATTAGTTTCTTTTATTCTCCTAGGAATCACCACTACCCAATCAGGTCCACTGGAGTTTACTGGCATCTTGATATTGACACCACTCTGGAAGAAAGCACTCTGCAGCAGTCAGGAGACCTTTCAGGTATTCACCTTTGAAATGGTTAATTCTGCTGCTGCAAGGGAGCTTCTTTGGTTTGAAGCAGAACCAGGGCTCTCCAGTGTAGAGATCTGTAAAGTTACACAAGGGCAGGATCCCAGGATGAGACACATTACACTCAGTAGTTTCAGAAATTCTTCCTGAATAGAAGAGACTCTTGAAACAGACCCTGTCTGGTTTCTCTTCTTATAAGTGCTGAAGAACTTTGATCCCCTCGCTGGGGTGGACCAGAGATACAGATACTTTAACTTTGCCTGGCCAGAGCAAAGTAAAGAAAACCTTGAAAATCCCATTCTGATATCTATCACTCTGCCCACAGCCCCTGCTTGCAGCGTGGGGGAATGAATTCTGGCCTGCGGGTAGTCTCCACCATACTTCTTGGGCTTTCTTTGAAAATCCTGTCCATGAACCAGCCTCTCTAGCTGGCTCCCCACCTTGAAGAAGGCTGCAGAGTTTAAGATAACAAAGTAGCTGGAGCTGGAAGGGTCAGTGCTCTTCACAAAGGGGACTGGGCCCACATCAGGAGCCTGCTACTGCAAGGCAGCCAGCAAGGAGTCCTCCTCCATGAGTTCTTGGCTGGACAGGGTCTGCTGCTCATAGCCACAGTAGGGATTCCGGCTAATTCCTGTCACCTGGGAGGAAACATATTGTCCACTGCTGTTGATGAATGTGGCTGAAACAGTCTCATGGTCCAAATACTTACCTGAGTAACACTGATGACCAGTACCGCCACCATCAACACTGCCAGCAGACAGCAGAAAAGCCGCAGTTTGAAGAAATTGGTCCACATTGTCCAGCTGTGTCTTGATCACCCATGGCCAACACCATGCTATCTTCACTCCTCAAAACTCCATGTCTGTTTTTCTGAGCTGCAGATGAGCTTTCAGGTTATCTGCTTCTATCCTGCCAGTAGCCTTACAGTTTCATGTAGAGGAGAGACTGTCGTTGGTTCAAGAAGCACATTTTTCTTCAAAGAACGCCTCCGCATCCCGCCACCCTTAGGTGGTGCCCGGATGGGGGGAAATCAGATGCCTTGACCTGTGGTCGCTGCGCCAGCTGCTGGCACCCACCTGAACTTCTTATTTTAGAAAAATGAGTTTACTTTGATCTCATTTAATAGTCATATCCAAAAGACAGGTATTATTAACTCCATTTTACAGGACTACTAGACTTTGAGTCCATTCTGGCTTACCCTCTAGCACATGGCAATAATCTGTTTTGAATCTCTCATGATACAAAAAGTTTCATTTACATTTTTTCACATTCTCTTACCTACAATGCAAGGCATAATTATCTTCATTTTGCAGTGGCCAATTCCTCCCAGGTGATATAGCTACAAAGTGATAGTCAGGTCTTGAATTACTGGTCTTCTGACACTAGACTCTATATTCTTTCTACCTCACTGTGCTTATTATACTAATTAGTTGTGGGTCCCAGACAGGTGTTTATAATTTCTGAGCTTTGTTTTCCATATCTGTAAAATCCAAGAACTGAAATGAACTGATTTATGCTCAGAAACTGTTCTATGAAATCACTTTAAAAAACTCTTCAGTTTCTTCCTCTTTGAGAGTCACGGCAAAAGCCCCTTAATCCATTGAAGGCTCTGAAGGGTCCTGCAGTAAATAACATTTTAGCCTAGTGCTTCCCAAATTTGCCTTAGTACTTTTCTTTCTTTTTTTCTTTTTTTTTTCTTGCAGTTTCTGGCTGGGGCCGGTACCCTACTCCTTTGAGCCACAGGCGCCGCCCTGCCTTAGTAATTTTCAATCCCTTGTTAGCATCCTCCAGATCTAGTGCTCCACAAAACATGGTAATTAAGGTCCCATACAGCTGTAGAATTGACAATTTTCTCATCAATAGCCTTACCGTATTTCAGGGCCTAACCTCCACCATGAAGCTATCTTGTCTATACTAATCCTATTTTCTTTTCTCTAAACTCCTGTAACAAAACCTATACATACAACTGATAATTACATAGTCTGCCTTGTATAATCTGCAAACTGTTTGATATGTCTTTGTTTTTGTTTCTGTGACTAGAAAGCAAATTCTCTGATATGTGGGGCCATACTGAAATGAAAGGGCTGCATCTGTATAGCAATTTATAGTTCAGGAGTGCTCTTAATCACCACCATCCTATGTAGTTCTGCAGTACTGGAAGGTAGAGGGCAGGCACTGTTAGAGGGGAGGAAATGAAGGTACAGAAAATTTTAGTGACTAGTTCAAGTCTGACTCATAGTTCAATTCTCTTTCTCATCTTTCTGATAAGCAAAAGGAATCTGGCACTGAGAACTAGAGACAAAAATGCATCAAATTAATTTAGACTACAATTGACCCTTGAACAACATGGGTTTGAACTGTGTGAGTCTACTAACATGTGGTTTCTTCCCCTCTGCCACCCCTGAGACAGAAGATGAACTACTCCTCCTTTCCTCTTCCTTCTCCCCAGTGTGAAGCTGATAAGGATAAAGACCTTTATGACGATCCATTGATCTACTTCTATTTAGTGAATAATAAATATATTTTCCTTCTGCTTTTCTTAATAACATTTTCCTCCAGCTTACTTTTTTTAAGAATACAGTATATAAGTAACATACATAGTGTGTATTAATCTACTGTTTATGATATCAGTAAGGCTTCTGGTCAACAACAGGCTATTAGTACTTAAGTTTGGGGGTAATCAAAAATTACACACGAATTTTCAACTGCCCCGGGGGCAGCGCCCAACTCCTATGTTGTTCAAGGGTCAACTGTGTTTCTATTCACCAAATAATTCAGGAATTGCTTAAAGTCAGAAATACGTCCTCTGGATTTTTTAATCTTAGGAATTAAATGAATGAATTTAATCAAAATTCATTTTGAATTTTTCAAAACCAGGATCTCAACTTCTAATCCTATGATTCAGTTCTGTAAGTTATCATCCTTCCTAAAATATATTCAGCTCAGAAAACTGCCTCTGGTAATAAACCTTTTTAAAGCTGACATTTTCCAGAGGAATTAACGTCTTTAGGCGTTCCCACTTGTCTTTGAAAATAATGTAATTTTCTGTTTTTATCTCCCCCTAGAGAAGATAATATGTAGGATGTCTTCCAAAAAGCTTTGGGAGCATTGCAGACTGGGTATGCACAGGCTATGGTCTTCTACTATACAAAGTATATATGTTATTGACCTAACTTAGGCCAGCAGAGAAATTCTGTGCCTTAAGGATCTAGCTGCTTTGAGTAGTTAAGATCCCAAAAGACATGTGTAAATAGAGCAGACAGTGCTGCTAGATAATACACATTGAAAAATAACAACTCTGAGGTACGGTAACCAGCCTCCAAGACGGCTCTCAATGATCCCCACCTTTTAATATTTAGACCTTTGTGTAGTCTTCTCCTACAATGTATTAAGGTTGGTCTGTGTGACCAATAGTATCAAGAAAAAAGTTAGATAGTATATAAACACTGAGATTAGGCCATAAAATAGTACAGCTTCTGTCTTGGTGTGTCCATCCATCACCCTCATATCACCTGCTCTAGGTACAGCCGACTGCCATGTCATGAGAACAATCAGGTGGCCTCTGAAGAAATCCCTACCTTTAGAGAGGAATGGAAGCCTCTAAGAGCAGCGGTCCTCAAACTTTTTAAATAGGGAGCCAGCTCACTGTCCCTCAGATCATTGGAGGACCGGAGTGTGGGCCCTGGGATCAGTCAGCTGCTAAGCAGGACAGGCAGCAGTGGCAAAAACACACAGCGGGCCAGATAAATGTCCTAGGCAGGCCACATGTGACCTGCAGGCCATAGTTTGAGGACGCCTGTCTAACAGCTAATGAAAAAACTGTGGCCTGCCACATGAGTGAACAGAGAAATGGATTCCCTAGCCCCGACACTGAGACAACTACAAGTTTGTAAGAGACCCTGAGCTAGTACCACCAGCTCCTGGGTACCTGACCCTCAGAAAGTGCACTGAAATACTGTTTGTTGATTTAAGCTGCTAAACTGTGGGTTAATTTGTTACATAGCAACAGGTAACCAATACAGAGGGTTTGGATCTAGAATTGAGACAGAGAGATAACAGAATAATAACTTTGAGGCTTCTTACTAAAGGGACAAACTCCTGGCATCCTGATGGTATTAAACCATTCAGAAGACTGTTCATTCACATTCACCATAATCTGTTTAAAGAAACCAAAGAAGAATATCACACAGTTTGAAAGACTCTACTTTCAAAAACGGTTAAAGTCAAGATGCTACATGTAACTGCTTCCTGAAAAATTCACTATGTGGAACACTACATTCCCCAATAAATCCTAATAAATGATGCATTTGTCTGGGTATATATATCTACAATCACCTGACTTTATATACAAGAGCCTTTTAAAGAAAAAATGTAAATTTGAAATACTTAAATCTTAGGTATACAGTCTGATCATTTTTGACACACGTCAAAATTATTTCTGTGTAATCCACAACCCTTTCGAAACACAGAACATCTTCAGAACCTCAAGAATTTCCCTCTTGTATATGGCCAACCAAACCTGATAGTAGAAACAACTTATCACAAATTCATTTGACCTTCAAGTACATGACATCAGAAAATATATACTCATTTTTCTGGCTATTTTCACTCAGCATAAGGATTCTGCGACTGACCCATACATATTTCTGCATATTACCAGTTCACAGCTATTCTTATATGGCTATTCAGCTTATTTATTCTCCTTCTGATAGATAGTTGTAATTGTTTCCCGTGTTTTGTTATTTGAATATAATTGCTTTGAAGATTCTTGTACACAGTGTTTTGTGGACATATGTTTTTCATTCTGTTGGTTTTATACTCAGGAGTGGGTCACAGGTATGATGTTTAATTTCAAAAGGAAATTGTCATACACTTTTCCAAAGTGGTTATGTCATTTTACATTCCCACCAGCAATGACTGGGTGTCCTAGTTGTTCCACATTCTTATCCACATTTGGTAGAGCTGGTCTTTCTCATTGTAACCATTTTAGTTGTAGGCTATATTAATAATATCCCACTGTGGTTAGAAAGAACATTTTAAAATCAAACCAAAATGCACAATGAAAATCTTACCTTGTCAGCTCATCAGCGCTAAAGCAGCTTAGATCTGGAAGCCAAGCAGACACTTCATGGCTAAGTGTAAGGCACTCTTTTAGAGGGTTTTTTTGGTCTGCAGACATAAGACTCTTTGAGGTACTCAATGCTGCAGCCAGCTGCTTTAAAATAGAAGCAGTCTGTTGGTCAACTTTATCAGCATGTTGTGTTGCCACATGTCTATGGATGCCGGTCTGGTCTGTGAATAGTTGCTGACAGCATTGCCACCATTTCTCTTTACATTCAAAACTCCTTTGTGCTGGAACTTCTTTGGTTTTGACGAAAAGGGCAAAGGCCTGCAATTACATTTCATATATTAACACCATTAAATAACCTTAAGTTTAAAGCTAATGGAAGTCTCAATGAATTCTTTATATTATCTTTCCACAGGGATTTCCAGTTTTATGTGTGATTATTCTATAGAAGAATTTCCTGAGAAGTGACAGTTCTCTTATTAGTAAGCTTTAGAAGAGATTAGAGAATCTAAATCTGGGTATTATGCAGGTTAAATAATTCTCAGCACCACAGTTTTATTCTCAAGTGTAAGACTGTAAGTCACACTGGAATACATATATACACCTTCTTTGGGAAATGGCCGTATGGCTTGGCTGCCTGGCTAAGTTCTTCCCAATGACACGTGAGTGGAAGTGATGTGTGATACCTTCCCTTCTGGTCCATACAAACCTCCCATACATGCTTTTCCATGCTCTCTTCCTCTTTAGATTTCCTGGAGGAAGCCAAGGACACCTATGTCCCTGAAAATTTGCATGTTGATAAGGAGCCCCCCCACCCTTGCCGCCTTGTAAACCCAAACCTCCTTCTGAGGTGTTGAACCCAGTACAGGTTTAGGTCTATGTGTTACTGTAGCCTACGCCATCATAATCTATAAATAAAAAAAAAATCAATAAAAGTAATGAGGCAAAGAGTTGCTATAACAGATATTAACATATTTTAGAGTAATAAGTAAAATGGTATTATCCCACTCCAAAAGGCATATTTATTTATTCAAAGACAAATTTAAAAAACCAAAAACATTAATAAAATATCCAACTCTTCTTTTGTTCCCATGTCCTACATCCAATCTATCCACTCTACCTAGAAAATATATCCAAAATTTAACTACTTCTCACCAACTCCCTTGGCTATGCCTCTCAAGAGGTAATGTATCCTGAGAGGCTAACAATCAGATATCCGATTTAAGCCATATTTTACAACAAGAAACACGAAATGATAAGCTAGATCAAAGCCACCACCATCTCTTCCCCAGATTATTAATAGTCTCCTAGTCTCTTTCCATACTTAATTCTGTAACTTATTTCCTGATTAGCCGAAATGATTCTTTTAAAATCTCAGATGATGTCATTCCTCTGCTCAAAATCCTGCAAAGGCTCTACTTACTCTCCAACAATGTGGGCCCCCAACACTTCTCCCACCTCATCTCCTACCATTCTAGATTCTTGGCTTTTAAACCCAACCCCAGCCAAAAACATTAAACAGAAAATTATCTTAACCAGTGACCAACAGATAAACACCTACATTGTTTCCAGTATTTACAATTATAAGCAACACTAAATGAGCATTCCATACATACATCTTTCTGTACTTCTTTAACCATCTAAAAGAAAAGGATAAATATCTAAAAGGAAACTTGGATAGAAATCTAGAAGAAAAAGCATGAATTTTTAAACTGTGACAGTAGAGTTCCAGAAAAACTAACAATTTACACTCTTATCGATAAAGCATGTAGGTGCTAATTTCTTCCCAAGTTTTATCAGTATTTAATTTTTTATTGCCAATATTTTAGGTTGCCCTTGCTGGCTCATGCCTATAATCCTAGCACTCTGGGAGGCTGAGGTAGGAGTACCATTTGAAGTCAGAAGTTCAAGACCAGCCTGAGCAGAGCAGGACCTAGTCACTACTAAAAACAGAAAAATTAGCCAGGGGTAGTGGTACACACCTGTAGTCCTAGCTAGGTACTTAGGAGGCTAAGGGAGCATTACTTGAGCCCATGAGTTTGAGGTTGCTGTGAGCTAGGCTGAGGCCATGGCACTCCAGCCCAGTAAGAGCATGGAACTTTGTCTCAAAAAAAAAAAATTGACCCAAATAAAAGGCACAAGAAATGCTACCCCCACTTTTTCTTATGTCTTTGATTAATAATAAGATGTTTTTTCAGACTTCTTCTATTTGTTCTGTACACATCTGTTGGCTGTTTTTCTATTGTGACATTTATTGCCTGTTTGTGTTTTCAGTGATCTTTCTAACCATAGTTCCTGAATGTTTTTTCTAGCTTATCATTTAGTGTTTCTTGTTGCAAAAATACAGCTTAAATAGTTGTATGTAATTATTAGCCTCTCAGGATACATTACCTCCTGATCTAATAGGGGTGGGGAAGAATTTTTACATGCATGTATTCTATACAATTTTTTTCTTGATTATTTTTTTACTAAATCATAACAGTGTACATTAATACTAACATGGCGTACAGTGTACTGTTTCTCTATACAATTTGAAGTACTTTCATCCAACTGGTTAACACAGCCTTCATGTCTTTTTCTTAGTTACTGTGTTAAGACATTTATATTTGATCTTAAGGCCGGAGTAGACTACTGGGGGGAACATTGAGTTGGTGAAGATGGCCAGGAAACCACAAGCCTCAAGCACCATCATTGAACAATCATCCACCAAGACCAAACAGGGGAAGAGGAAGCCCCCTTGTCGCCCTAGGTCCAGAGGCAGCTTCAAGGCACCCAAGAAAGCCAAGAGGGCAAAAGGATGCTGACGAGGTAGCTTGAGGAGAAAAACTCCAAAAATGACCACCCCTTCAATGAAACTGAAGAAAAGGAGATCGGCAGCACAATTGGGCCATTATCACCGACTGACCAAGAGCCGCAATGACACAGGGGAGGGCCCCTGAGGTGTCTCCTTCAGACGCCACTAACTTCAAGGGGAGGCCAGAAACCTCAGAGCTATCTCTCAACTCTCTGGAGGTCTGGCCACTGGGCAATACCCAACCGTGTAGATGGTGAATTTCACACACGATGATGATAAAATAAAATCAATCACTCGTGAAAAAAAAAAGACATTTATATTCTACATTTAGAGAGATTCACATGTACCCTTATAGGATGAATCACAGGCGTGATCTATACAATTTTTTAAATGAATGAAAAGCATGCAAAAGTGGGCACTCTGGAACACCACTTCCTCAATCTGTATAAGACTGGATTGAGATCGTTTCATGCTGAAGCAGAAGGTTGGGATAACCTAGAATTTTATTAGAGGGCATTCTTTTTTTTTTTTTTTTTTTGAGACAGAGCCTCAAGCTGTCCCCCTGGGTAGAGTGCCCTGGCATCACAGCTCACAGCAACCTCCAACTCCTGGGTTCAAGCGAGTCTCCTGCCTCCGCCTCCCAAGTAGCTGGGACTACAGGCGCCCGCCACAACGCCCGGCTATTTTTTGGTTGCAGCCGTCATTGTTGTTTGGCAGGTCCGGGCTGGGGATTCGAACCCGCCACCTTAGGTGTACGTGGCTGGCGCCTTAGCCGGTTGAGCTATAGGCGCTGAGCCTAGAGGGCATTCTTTAGCCTCTCTTGTAGGGAACTCTTCAGGACAGGCAAAAAAAAAAAAAAAGGAGATAGCAGTGTATTTTTCCCCCCAAAGACTGATTAATTAAAAAGGAAAATAGAATAATTGTATAGTGAAGAAAGCTGGGAGATATTTCCTTATTAGTAACCAAAATTAATACTGCCAGTCAATTGCATTTTCTCAGGTCATTTTCCTTCCTGTGAGCCTAACCCCACTGCTAAAAAGAAGGGGTTTCAGTCGACGGTTTCTGAAAAAAAATAAATGCACGCAAGAGTAGCATCAATACCACGCCCCCCTGTAGCCGAATCCCAGCTGTATTCAGTAAGCTTGCAGATTCTGGGATGCTTTATCCCTTTTCCAAACCATTGGAGCCCAACTAGTTGGGCCAGATCAGAAATTTTACCTTAGTCAGCAGAGGTCAGTAGAAGTCTCAACTTTGGCAGCCTCACTAAATGACAGCTGCCTCACTGTCTGCCTGCTCTTATGACTAAGATTCCTGGGTTCCTGGGATTCCTCCCATAGTCCTAGGTGGGAAACAAAAATCTAACCCATCTGTCTAGGATCTACCCCCTCTTCAAGTATTCTACCCAAACTGTTCTAGGGCCCAGACCTTTCCCTAGAGCTGAATTAAGATCACTGGTTAAAATCCCTGAGTAGACCTTCCCCTGAGCTGCAGGGCAACCTTGACAAGCTATTATTAACTACACAGACATGAACATGAAATAGTAATAGCAATACCTTTTTCTTTGCAAATGAGTATTTCTTCTTTGTACCGCCATCTAACTCTGCTTTGAGACAGCTATTGGGATTAATAAGACTTTTATCTTTTAAATCCAGGTCAGAAAATCTTAAAATACAGGCCTCTAGGTCATCTCCTTGGTCTGGTGAATTAGAAGAAGGCATCTGGTCTGATCACAATAGTGGCACAGAGATTCTTCTCAGTTATGTACCTCCTAGAACACAAGCAAGGGAGAAACAGCAATGCCAGTCTTTGAATACTTCTTAAAGTAAACATGAACCTAATCAGTCATGCAGACCAGCAGGGACCCAGCAGCCTAAGCTAATCATTCATTCACTTGCTCATGAAATAGTAATTATTTCGCAACTACTCCTAAGCACTGTTCTACATACTGGGGATACAACAGTGAATGAAAAGTTTCTGTCTTGTTAGAGCTTGTATTTCAGTGGGATGAAACAAATACATAAACAAATATAAGAAAATATCAGATGGTGAAAATGCTATGAAGATAAATAAGCAGAATAAGGAGGGCACAGTAGTAGAGGAGGCCTTTAAACAAAGAGGGTAGGAAATGCCTTTGCTGAGCATGGTAGCTCACATGTGTAAACTCAAGATACTCAGGAGGCTGAGGCAAGAGGATAGCTTGAGCCTAGGAATCTAAGGTTATAGTGAGCTATGATGGGACCACTACATGCCAGCCTAGGCAACAGTGAGAAAGGAGGGGAGGGAAGAGGAAGGGAGGAGGAGGTTGAAGGGGAGATGGGGAGGAGGAGGGGATGAGGAGGGGATGAGGAGGGGAGGAGAGGAGAGAAGGGAAAGAGAGAAAAGAAAGAAAGAAGGGAAGACAGAAAGAAAAGAAAGGAAGGAAGAAAGTAAGTGAGCAAGCAAAGCCAAGCCTTTCTGAGGCTGTAGCATTTTAGCAAAAATCTGAATTAGGGAGCAAACCACGCAGACATTCAGGGTAAATGCTATACAGAAAAGCACTTCCTACAACTCAAAGCAATCAAGCTGTGTGCTAGTACCTTATGCTATGAATACTTTGTTCTTTTTGCCCCCTAATTTTGGAGCTGTGCAAACTTCTTTACTTAGAAGAAACAGCTACCAAGAGACCACCTGGTAAGGAACCAGAAGAAGTATCAAAATTGCTACTGTGGCCACACGCTGTCAAAATGTACACACTACAACCACCATTCTACATTAGTTCTTTTGTAGAGCAAATGTTACAGATGACAAACAAGGCAACATGAAGCACTTAGAAAACATGAGCTATGCTTTGTGTTGCAGCTGGTTGAAAATATGTGAACCTGGGCCAGCTATTTAACTTCCCTAATTCCCTAATTTTGAAATTGGGGATGACAGTACCTACCTTGTAGGTCAACTGTACTGAGAACAGTAACATACCAGCGTTTCATGGATGATAATATTATTAACATTTCAATTTAATTTAATGCTGTATTTAAAATATAACACTAAAATGTGATTTATTTAAAAATTATCTGTGGTGGGTTCTATTTCCCCAAAATGGCCATACCAGTGTTTCTGGTCTAGTTCCTCTCTCCCTAAGTAGGCTCGTAACTGTTCCCAAAAATAAAGCATGGCAGAAGTGATGCTATATGATTCTGAGGCTGGGTCCTAAAAATAATATGCATTTTGGGATGCTCTCTCTGAGGAGGCTACAACTGGGCTGTAAGCCAATCCAGCTCATACATACCACATACAGAGAACCAGGTGGAGAGGAACGAGGGCCTCCAGCTGACATTATCAACCTTTCTAGCCCCGGCCTTTGAGCTGGTATTTCTGTTATACCCTGTTCAAATTTAGGCTCCACAGCATAGTAACTTACTATTTTACATTACTTGGTAAAGTTTATCTCTTGAAGATGGCTTAAGGTGAATGCTTAAGGTTGTGAAGAGTAGTAACAAGCAGAAAGGAGCAGAGAAAAAAAATACCACTGAGAATGAGAAAAACGAAGATGAGAGGTACTGGTGACAAGACTTCACAATTCGCAACTTTGCCTATTGGGTACTTCAACTGAGTGAAGGGAAATAAGAAGTTGTTTCTGAATGGGGGAATACACACTGCCTGTTAACAATGCAGAATGAGATTTACAAAAACCAAAGACACACACACACATCAACTTCCTTATAAAGGACTTTTGTTCCTAGAATTCATAAATGAAGATGTCACTTGCACCCCATAAAGCATATTCAAATTAGCTAAGTGGTGCCTGCAAGGGACTTAAAATGAGTTTTGTTATAGGGGTAGGGCAACATAATTCAAATTGAATAAACCCAAATTCTAACTGCATTTGAAAAATAAGTGAGAAAGACTAGGGAGAAATAAGACCTTTTTTAGCTTCTCCTTTCTTTTCCAAACAAATGTCTTTCATATAAAGTTCCAATGAAAAGAGCAAATCTCTAATCCTACCCAAAACTGCAGGCCTTCCAGGCAGAAGAAAAATAAGTAGAAGCTTCTTATTCAACACACTTCTATGCTCACAGCTGCTTTATTGTAAAGGTAAAGAAAGTGTTTATACCTTTTTCAAATTAAAATTCCTTCAGCAAATATTTTTTGAGAGTCTTTTAAGTTCTGGACATTGTTCTAGGTTCAGTGAACAACTCATTTATACTCTATCTATAAGGGCAGTGCTTTGGGAGGTAACACTGTCAAAAGGAGTTATCATACTAAATATGATAACCACCAGATCCTACCATATGCATTCTTTTCTTTCCTAACCTGCCTCTTCAGGACCTAGAGGTTATCATGGTCTGTTCCTGTGTTTACACTTTTTGAGGCTTTGTCTTCCTCATTTTCATCTCTCCTCTTCCCCAACCCATATACTAATCACGTATATCAAGACTGAAGGCCCATGTGCTGGCTCATGCCAGTAATCCTAACGCTCTGGGAGGCCAAAGTAGGAGGATCCCTAGAGCTCAGGAATTTGAGACCAGCCTGAGCAAGAGTGAGACCCTGTCTCTACTAAAAATAGAAAAATGAGCTGGTGTGGTGGCCTGTAGGCCCCCTGAGCCCAGGAGTTCAAGGTTGCTATAAGCTAGGCTCATGACACAACATTCTAACCTGAGCAATAGAGTGAGACTCTGACTCAAAAAATAAAGACGAAGGTCAAGTGTCACCTCCTTCACTCACCACATCTTCTCTGCCACCCCAGTGCCACTCCTTCCTCTGAAGGCCTGAAACATTTAGTTCCCTCACCATCCTGGGCTCATCTCAGATAAATAGCACTCCCCACTGCATATGCTACTTTGGCCTCACTGGACTGTGCCTAGTTCCACAAATGAGCCATGCTCTCTCCTGCAAAAACTTTGGGATGATTCTCTCTCTCTCTCTCTCTCTCTCCCTCTCTCTCCCTCTTTTAGAGTTAGAGTCTCACTGTGTGGCCCAGGCTAGAGGGCAGAGATGTAATCACAGCTCACCACAACCTCGAATTCCTGGGCTCAAGTGATCCTCCCACCTTGGCCTTCCAAAGTGCTGGGATTAGAGGCGTGAGCCACTACACCTAGCTGGGATGATTCCTGACTCCTTCTTTTCTCACACTATCAACCAGTTGCTCAGAAAATCCTATCATGTTTGCTTGGGAAATACAATCAGATCAGACCACTTTGCACTGCCACTACCACTCAAGTTCAAGCTACCATCATTTCTTGCCTGAATGAATAGCCTAACAATCTTCCTCCTGCAAAAGAGACAAATATTAAAAAATATTTCAAATCTTCCTCCAAAGACTTCTCAACTTATGTCCAAAGTCTTTATAAAGCCCCTTCCCCCCACCTCTGGGATCCCACCTTCTCCTGCTCTCCCTTTGATTGCACTGTTGGTGGCCATTCCTGAATAGGACATTATAAAACCAACTCCAAGAGAACAGGCGTTTTTCTTTGTTCACCTCTGCATACTCAGGATGTAGAAACACCGTCTGGCACATAGGAGGCGCTAAATGTTAACAAATACTATACTCTGAAAGAAATAAAACAGTGATTGGAGAGCCAGGGAAGACCTCAGGACAGAGATGATGTTTGAGCTAAAACCTAAACCCAGGGGCCAGCCATACAAATTCAGAAACAGATTTCCTTCAGATACATGAAATGGTGAATATAAATTCTCAAACTGGGAACACGCTTCACTTACTGGAGTAATAAGTGAGTTATCGGAGTACAGCAATCAGAGGGTAAAACACCACAGGCCATGGTATGGAGTTTGTAATGAAAAATCACTGGACAGTTTAAAGCAAACGTGTGATACAGTCTGATTTTAGATTTGTTTTCATAGAGTCGGTAGAGTTTACAAATTAAGTAGAAAGTGAAGGAAAAGGAAGCCCTGAGAATAACTCCTCCCTAAATTTTTGGATTAAGCAACCGATGGATGGCGTCATTTACTGAAATGGGTAAAACTGCAGGGGAAACAGGCCTGGAGAGTGGAATTTCACATGACCACGGGGACAAGAAATTTAGATAAGCCAGCGTGGTGCCCATCAAAGATGTTCGGCCAAGGGACGTTCATGCATCTATGCGCATATAGTCAGCCAATAACTACTGAAAACAGGTTACTAAAAACAACCATTTGTTCCTTCTTAAACAAACAACTCAGGGAGGTGAGAGGTAAACTGACATCCAGAGGGTAAACCCACAGCACCCGGTTCGTGTCTGGGCCAGTCTTTCTGTCTCAGGGGGCGGCACTACGTGGCCGCCTCCCGCCCAGGCCCCACCCGCGCGCTGGGCCAGGCCCAATCTGTCCGCACAGCTTTCCAGAGGCGGCAAAAGCTGGAAAAGTGGGAATAAGATGAGCACGTACCCGGCAGTCCTGGTCCTTTGCTTAGGTCTTTCTTCCCTGAGCTGTCTCCGCCTAGCACGGCTCACAGCTCTCGGACCTACAGCCCCGCCGCGTGTTTGCATAGGAAACTCTCGCGACGTCACCGCGCTCCGGAACTCTCCGAGGCCGTACGCGCAGGGGCCGCCGGGAAAGCCCTCTGGCCTCGGGGGCGGGTCCAAGAAGAGGCGGGGACTGGAGAGGCCTCCTATGCCGCCCGCGTTCGGGCTGACGTAGCTCGTGGCCCGCAGGCTCTGGCTTGCAGGAGCGGCGGCAGTTTCTGCGTTGTCCCGGAAGGACATAGAGTAGAAGGCGGGAGAAAGAAGCAGCCGACAGGCGCAGGAGGCCCGAGTGGGCGGTTGCTCACGGACCAGACGTCCGAAGCCCAGTGAGCTTACACACGCCGGCTCTCTCGAACCCGAACGTACCCGCTGCCTCTCCAGGCGCTCCCGAGAGCCGTCACGCTAGTGCGCCTGCGCGCCGGACGGTCCACGAGCCTCGCGGCTCTCCTCGAGCCGGCCGCCTGCACGACGGTTCCTGCCGCGCTTCCCGCCCGGCCCCTCGGCTCGGCAGCGCACCGCCTGGCAGCATGTCGCGGCGGCGGCACAGCGATGAGAACGATGGTGAGTGCCCGGGTGGGAATTGAGGGTCGGTTGGTTTGGTCTGTTTGGTCTTCGGCTCTCCGGGAAGAGATGGGCAGTCCCTCCCTGGGACCTTCGGAGAGCCATAGCGCGAAGGAGGCTGGTACAGCGCGGGCGTGGCCGGGCGGCTTCTACAAAACGACTGCTTCCCACGCCCCGCGCCCCAATTCCTTTAGTCGTGGACCCATCGTGGGTAAAGGAGACCTTTGACCCCCCGCCCCCTGGATAGACCCGGGGTCTGTAAGGGCTCTTCAGAATTTGGTCCTCAGCACCGCCGAGGGAAGTACACCTGTGTCTGTGCTGACTCGCATTAGGGTTGGTGACAGGGACCCCTGTAGCCTTTAACCTTCAAAGCTACACCTGGGAAGGCTATACTAAAAGAAAAGAACAAAGCGGCGACTAAGAGATCTAATGGATTGCAGTCTGAACTCCAGCTCTGCTGATCATTTACGGATTTTTCTTTCTTTCAAGCTACAGGGAAGGAATTTTCCCTCTTATCCACATTCAGGTCACTAATAAACAGGCATGGGTTGTTAGATTTTGAACTGGCTGTGTATTTCCCTCTAGTAAGAAAGAGTACTAGAAAGCTAACTGGAGAGCTCTGAGAGATTTTGAGACCAGGAGTTATTATCTCTGTTTGGATGATTATGCTCGTGGGGATCATAGTGTATCCATCACAAAAACTAAGAATGATTTCGCTAGGTTAAACAAGAAAAAGATGCTTGCATTACACATGAGCATTGCAGCTAGTCAAGAAACTTACAGAGATTCTATTAATATTTTAGTGTATTTCTCTTTGAAAAGAGAGTATAATAGTGGTTAAAATGCAAAACTTTGGAACCAGAGGGTTGAATTTCAAAACCAGACCCTACTATTTAGTGATCTTCCCCAGGTTATATAACCCTATTAAACCTCAGTCTGTAATATAGAAATGATGATATTTACCTCTTCTGGGTTTTATGAGGGCTAAATGAAATAATACATGTGACCAAAGTCTCTGATGATGTTGTTTCTATTTTATATTACCACTTACGAGGTAATAAACATTATCAGATGCCCACAATGTAAGAAACAACATAACAAAAGTTTTAATTGAGTAAATTTTCTCTACTCTCACCTTTTTCTCTCTTTGAATGTTGGGACAGTTAGGGATGGCACAGAATCCCAACTACAAATTCAGTTGTAGCAGTGAAACACTGGATTTCTGCTAGGGTGTGGCTTGAGAGAGTCTCTTCCAGCCTTCTCATCTGACACCTAAGGAAGAGTCTAGAGACCTAGTGTAATTAGCATGGAAACACAGCTGTCAGTGCCCAGACCCTAGCAAGAGCAAATCCCAGGCTCCAGCAGTGGCATAGGTGCAGCTACACTGCGTGCTTTGATTTAACACAGGAGGCTTCTTGTATAACCCCTGTACAATGTACAGAAAATACAGTTTTGTGTGCTTTGTGATTGACTAATCAAAAACTATCATTGGAGTCATTCCTTGGGGTTTTAGAAAATATGAATCTATTCTTCCCTTTTTCTTTGCTCATAGTATGCTTTGTTTTTCCCCCTTCTAGGGCATCTCTAAAGGGAGGAGAACACCATTATTGGAATGCAAATATATAGAAAAATAATTTTTGCTTGGTTATTGGGAGTTTTGCTTAACTTTCTTAGATTTGGCTTCATTTTAATACCAGCTGATGGCTAAATCACTGTCCATTTAAGTCTCACTGCAGGAACCTCGGAGTAAATAAGACAAATTAGTAAAATAAGGCATTTATTAAGCAAAGTTTATTATGGTGATTAATTTAGTAGGCACGAGGCAGATGTAATTCCTCTTTGTTAACCCACTAAGCCTGGGACTTTTGTAAATTGCCACAATCTGGGTAATAATCAGCTAGGGTTTAGCCTACATGGTAATCTGAGTCATATATTTCGGATGCTTTCTTTTTAGTTAAGGATCTCCTATTTTAAAAAAAATAAGAATCATTTGAACTTTAAGTATTAGAGAAGGCTATTTTAAAATAAGCTAGAAATTATCACAGTAAAAATTACATAGATGAACCTAGTATTTCTAGATTATTGTCAGCTCTTCCAGTCACTAGCTGACCTGACTTTCCATGTACTTGACTATATATAATCATTTATTCAACAGATATTTAACAGTGCCCAGCTCTGTCCTATATACTTGTAATACAGTAGTAGACACTATAAAGATGGAGTCTCCCTTCTAGAATGGTGAGAGGAGAAAACAAAATATAATGTATCAAGGTGACAAGTGCTATGGAGAAACATAATATCAGATAAAGGGGTTAGAGAATGATGTCAGGGAGGAGTTACTAATTTTTTTTTTCTTTTGAAACAGAGTCTCACTTTGTCACCCTTGGTAATGTATCCTGGTGTCATAGCTCACAGCAACCTCAAACTCTTGGGCTCAAGTGATCCTTCTTGCCTCAGCCTCCTGAGTAGCTGAGACTACAGGTCCACTACATCACCCAGCTATTTTTAGAGACAGGGTCTCACTCTTGCTCAGGCTGGTGGCATTACTATTTTATGTAGTTGGTCAAGATCTCAGTGAGAAGGGCATCTGATATAAGACCTGCAGGAAATAAAGGTAGCAAGCCATTTGGCTGTGTTGGGGACAAGCAGCAGTCTAAACAAAGGGAACTATGAATGCAAAGGCCTGAAGGCTAGAGCCTGTCAAGTTCACTGAACAGCAAGCAGGCCAGTGTGTCTGGAGCAGATCAGACAATTCAAGGAGATGGGGTCAGGAGACTATACTAATGAAGTTCTTGTAGTAGTCAATTTATAGACAAGGAAAGGGAAATCATAAATGGAAAATGATACATATGTATAGATACTAGTCCCATGCTAAATCTAACTCGTTTCTTGGACTTTCTGTAAAAATGTCTCTGAAGCTTTTCTTTTCTTTTCTTTTCTTTTCATTTTTTTTTTTTTTGGAGACAGGATTTTGCTCACTTGCGCTAGAGTACAATAGTATCATCATAGTTGTCTACAACCTGGAACTCCTGGGCTCAAGGGGTCCTCCTACCTCAGCCTCCCAAGTAGCTGGGACTCCAGGCATGGGCCACCAGGCTTAGCAGATTTGTCTATTTTTATAGAAATGAGGTCTCACCTTGTTGCGCAGGCTGTTCTCAAACTCCTGGCTTCAAGCAATCCTCTGGTCTTAGCCTCCCAAAGTGCTAGGGTTACAACAGGCATGAGCCATCACGCCTGACTCTCTAGTTACTCTAAGATATGTGTGTAGTAGGTCTTCAGTATGTTTTCTTATTCTAAGATTGTTCAAAATCTTAGCCAGAAACCATATTAGCTCTATTTAAGCTACTTAGAATTAAGTCCTGTCTTTTACTGATCTTTTACTTAAGTAGAGAAAAAAAATAAATGAATAGAAGTGAAGGGGGTTTTATTCTGTGAGTATAGTTTGTTTCAGAGGTGATAATTGGCATCTGTTTTAAATCTGCAGGATCAAGGTACTTTTCCATTTTATATTTTTGGGATTTATTACTTTTTTCTTTTACAGGGTTTTTGTTTTCTAAGTTATGAGTCTAAAATACCTCTAGTTCTAAAGAAGATTGTAAGTTGTACAGTGTATCTATATAAATTTAAGATCTTGGCTCTGCGCCTGTGGCTCAAGCAGCTAAGGCGCCAGCCACATACACCTGAGCTGGTGGGTTCAAATCCAGCCCTGGCCACCAAACAACAATGACGGCTGCAACCAAAAAATAGCCAGGCGTTGTGGCAAGCGCCTGTAGTCCCAGCTTCTTGGGAGGCAGAGGCAGGAGAATTGCTTGAGCCCAGGAGTTGGAGGTTGCTGTGAGCTGTATGCAACTTCTATATAGTTACTTTTTTTCTTTTTTTTTTTGAGACAGAGTCTCAAGATGTTGCCCTGGGTAGAGTGCTGTGGCGTTATAGCTCACAGCACCCTCAAACTTTTGGGCTTAAGCAATTCTCTTGCCTCAGCTTCCTAAGTAGCGCCACATACATAGTTAACATTTTAGTACAAAATTTATTCTTGGTTTGGGAACTACTTCAGGTATCTTTTCTTCAGCACGCATAAAAACATTCAGCTAATTCCCCTAGTTTTATTATTAGTTAAGGTATTTTATCTGCTTCCCTATGCTGTCACACAAGTTCTCTTCTAAGTTCAATCGATACCTTGTTACTGTCTATGGCAGTACTGCTTTCTAAAATATGGTTTCTTAGCATTGGCACTACCAACATTTTAGATAAGATGATTATTTGTGGTTGGGAGATGTCCTATCCAATTTGGAATATTTAGCAGTATCCCTGGCTTCTTCCCACTAGACGCTGGTTGCACTCTCTGAGTTGTGGCAAGGATAAAATGACTCCAGAGATTGCCAAGGGCCACTGGGGGCAAAATTTATACCCAGTGTGAACCACTGCTCTGGAAAAAGACGATTTTAATGCCCTAGCTGACAGCTTATATAAATTACATCAAATATGCATAGTTTTGTCAATGAATAACTCCTGGGAAGTAAAATACCTTTGTGCGAAAGGACCTTAACGGATCCTGTGACTTAGGTTCATTGTCTATTTAAGAATCAAGGTCACTGTGCCACATACGCCTACAGTGTTACACAGGCAGATATCTCCAGTAGTGTATCTTAGGGTCAAGTTACATGCATGTATTCTTTTTGTGGCATCATCCCTTAAAAATTCAGTACTGATTTAGCCAAATGATAAAGGAATTTTAAGAGCTTAGGAAGTTAAAGCATCAAGTACTTTTACCCTGTAATGTTTTGTAATACCTCCCTTTGGTCCTATCTGGATAATAACAAATTGGTTTTATTCAACTTAAGTTCATATGGTATCTGAAGATCATTTCAGTCATTGCAGATTTAACACCCCAAGCTTAGAGTAGACAGATGGTGTATTTTATGAGAATTGCCATACATTTCAAGCCAAATGTTCCAGAGGCAAGTAAGTGATTATGAACCCTGTAAAAATAGTTAAGTTCTTTTGGCTGTTAAGGTCTGAAGACAATTAAGGTTGTATATAACTTGCTACTGTGTAACTCTGTATTTAGCTGTAGATTTCCCAACACAGTAATCTAGCTTCCTTGCCCATATGCTGTCCTAATAATCCAATTGATGGAAGTGGCAAGTTGAATCATATTAGATTAGCCAAAATTGTTTAGCAGTAGCATCAGGTTCCATACTTAACACTATTATTTTAAGTTTTAAAGCCTTGTGTTGTTTCACAAAAGGATTTAAGGTAGATATGTTAAGGTTTTAAAGAAAATGATAAGAGAACATCAACAGCAAGGGTCTGAACAAAGTAGTCTTGGTGTTTGACGTTAATTTGTAGCTTCATTCTACTTGAATTCTTCAATCAAAAGAAGAGATGATTCATAATGATTTTAGAATGGAACATCTCTTTTTTTAGCATATTAACATTTTTTTAATAATCAGTATCAGTAATTATTCAGTTAATAAGAGCCAGTTAAAGCAAAGAATCATAAAACATGTGGTACCTTTTTTTTGAACTTTCTGCCTCAAGCAGTCCTTCTACCTTGGTTTTCCATAGTAGCTGGGATTGCAGGCACAAGCAACCACATCTGGCAAAAGGTACTTTTTTGCTACCAATTATTTGATACAGTGTTCAAGACTTTTCTTTGAGTATATGTATGCTGACTATAGTTCTCATTTGGGGGGATAATGTATACCCTGGCACTGCCTGGTAAGCAGAACTGAAACTGTTAATGGAAGAGTTAAGAGTTTATTTTCTTTCTTTCGGATTAACATAAGAGTACATACAGTTAGGTTATGTTGTTTGCATTTGTTAGGTAAAGTCCAAGTTGCAGCTGAGCCCTTCACCCACATGGTGTGCCCCTACACTGTACCTGATAGAGATAAGAGTTTAGACATTGTAAGGCAAGTAAGAAGTCCTAAGGTTTTATGCACCCTTTTCCTATCTTTTAAAGTTTTCTTCTTCCTACCTAATACAACTTACTTTTCTCTCTAACCATACCTTTTTAAAGCATTCAGTTTGGTTTTACATCCTTATTTCATCATTTACATTATTTTAAGTTACCTTAGAAGATTTATGAGTACTGTTGGAAGTAACTGATTTAGGAATAAGCAGCTGAGGATCAGTAAACAACAGAAGTTAAAAGAATGGGCGTAGCAGTACATGAGTATTTTATTAACTGCTGTTATGCTTAGTGTTTTTTTGGCAGCGTCTCAGCCTGTCTACAGAAATGAACATGGCTACTGTATTACAAAGATCCATGGGGAGTCTTAACACAAAATTTAATGTAAATAATGCCTCCTGGAGTTATTGTGTGTACTAGCCCTGGAAATGGAGACTGTTGGTTAATATAGCTTAGTCTGTTTAGTCTAAATGCATGAAGAGCTTTTACTCTGTGTAAAAGGTAGGGCCTGGTAGAAAAGAGATTATAGCCTAAAAAGGTTAAATAAAATTTATTAACAGATTATCATGTAATGTTAATTTTTTTACATTGCTGAAATAGGTGGACAGCCTCACAAAAGGAGAAAGACCTCTGATGCAAATGAAACTGAAGATCATTTAGAATCTTTAATATGCAAAGTAGGAGAAAAGGTATGCAGCACATTAGGCATAGATTGTAATGGGTTAAGGGTTATAGTTGATTGTGCTTTGGGTAATTTCTCCCATTGAAAACTTGATGATCTTCTAGGCAAAGCTTGTGTTACCATGTATCTATATCCCAAACGGAATGCATGTTGAACCCCTTGGGAGGCAGATAATTGCCAGTTTTTAGTAATGAGTAATATTCGTGGAAGATGAACCTTAGAAAGGACCTAGAGTAGTCTGCTCAATTTATAAATGAATTAAACCAGACCTAGATACTTGAGGTAATTTTCCCAGAGTCAAAAAGTGAATTAGTAAGAGATGGAATAGAGCCCATGGAGTCATCCCATTTCTAATATTCTGCTATCCATTCATTGTCTTTTCATGGATTTCCAAAGAACAATAACTGTCTGAATTGATTTGTATCAAGCCTGTCATAGCTCCTTATACATGTAAGACTTCAACTTTTTATGATCATCTGGAAATTTTATTTATTTAGTTCACCAGTTGCCAAGTACTTGATGTACTTAATTTGTTGTCCTCTACAGAGTGCCTGCTCTTTGGAGAGCAACCTAGAAGGCTTAGCTGGTGTTTTAGAAGCTGATCTTCCTAACTACAAGAGCAAGATCTTGAGGCTTCTTTGTACAGTGTATGTATGCAAAAGATTTATGGATCCAGGTGATAATGTATTATCTACTCTTAAATGCTTTGGGAAATATTCAAAGGATGTATTCTTGATGTCATTGGCTTTCCTTCTATCAGGGCATCTATACAAATGGAATTACCTTTAGCCCTTTGGTGAACTCTTTTTCTTAGGAATAAATAGGACTAAAATTGAGCATTTTTCTTATATGGTTTCTTAGAATCATTTAAGTCAACTTTTTAAATGAGAAAGTAGATATTTTCTCATTTTTTAAAGCATATACATTAAAATGTATAAAATAGAGTCTAACTTTTTTTAATCATACGTATATATATATTTTTACTCACCATTATACTAATGAGAATTTAACTTACATTTTTAAACTGGTACTACCAAACAAATTTGAAAACTGATACCTCAAGTAATAATAGCTCTTCTTGTAAGACTGAAGCTACTTTCAAAGCTATTTAATAGGCATATTCTTTCTCGGAGTCAAGTGAGCTGGAACAGGGGGCAGCATTTAATTTGTGAGGAAATTAAAGCAGGAGTGTCTCTTTGAAATTGTGAAACAATCTCTCCTAGCGGTGTAAATAGCACTCTAGACTTTGTTGTTTCTCACATAGATGTGGACCACTCTGAATTGTTTGCCTTGTAAAGAATCAGCTACAACTTTACAAACAGGGGTCTTTGTAGTTCATGTGAAATTAGATCTATGAAGTATTTTTAAATTATGAAGATGACTTGTTTTAAGTTATTTTAGTTACTTCAAAATAATTTTTTAGTGCTTGCAGCTCATTTTTTAAATTTAACAATGTACACATAAACCAAAACTATCAATAGCTTTAATATGAACCTCTCATAGTTAAAGTGCATTTTATTTGCTGTATAATTTTTTAAAGAAATCTAGTTAATATTCAGGAAGTCAGATCCTTAGACTGAGAAATTACTGAGAAAAATACTTTTGCTACAATCATCATTCACAAGAGACCTTCTGTTTTGAAACCATTTATTAGAATGGAGTAGCATTTATACTTAAACTTTGTTAGAAGGTATGTTTGTTTGTTTAAGGTTGCACTGATACTACTTAGCAATGTTCTTTTTAATTTTTGGTTTTCAGAGGGCTTCAGGGAATATGGTTACTGTCAACACAAGTATTTTCATAAGACCTAGACCAGTGGTTCTCAACCTTCCTAATGCTACGACCTTTAATACGGTTCCTCATGTTGTGGTGACCCCCAACCATTATTTTCGTTGCTACTTGACCCCCAACCATTAATTTCATTGCTAATTTTGCTACTGTTATGAATCGTAATATAAATATCTGATATGCAGGTTGTATTTTCATCAGTCACAACCCACAGGTTGAGAACCGCTGACCTAGAGTATCCTTAATATTCTGCTTGGTCCCTTAGGAAAACATGAAAAGTAGAAGGGAATCCCTCTACTTAACCATGCATTCTTACTTGCTTTTCTTTTTGAGCTAATTTCTAAAGACTTGCCTTAATTAGGAAACATTTTCTTTTTCTAAAAGTTTATCATTGTTATCTTCTATACTTTTCAAGTAACTTTAATGAAATCAACACCCTTGCAGTAAGTGACTGCAATATAATCAAAGTTTATGTCAGAGTACAGTGGTAAAACTTGAATTATTTAACTGGTGGAAACTTAGTTGAAACTGGTTTTAATTCTCCATCTTTTCTAAGCAACTAGAATAGTACTTCTCAAAGTATAAGTCTGGTTCCATGACAATTGGTTAGCTAAGTTTAGAAACTCTGAATGTGTCTTCTTCCCACCCCCCACACCCCCCTTAATGATTCTGCATTAAAGAAGCTTGTTTCACATAGCATTTCTGAGATGTTTTACCATGGAAACCATTTTCAATAGAACTGCTATTAAGTTCCCCTAAACACAACTGAAGAAAAACTAGTCTGGTATTAGTTAGGTTTATTTCAGTGTGATAACTTCACAATTAAACTTTCTTAATTCCTAGATTCACTGACCATAATCAAAATGGAAAATTAAAATGGAAATTACAGGGCCACCGTCCACAGCTTTTCAGTGACAGTACATTTTCTAAAGAAGTTTTAAAGACATAGCTAAAAGTAATCCTGTTCCAAAGTTAATGAAATGATAAAAATTTTCTACATAAAATTTAGCAACTTAACATTATACCATTGTTTTGGGATTTCCTTGTTGTATTGGGTTCTCAATCAGTGCACGTCTGTTACCTGAGAAGTTGACAATTTATACAACATTAGTGGGACTACTCAATGCCAGAAATTACAACTTTGGTGGAGAATTTGTAGAAGCTATGATTCGTCAACTTAAAGAATCACTGAAAGCAAACAATTACAATGAAGCTGTATATTTGGTAAGTTTGTTTTTTTATTTGTTTGGGGCTCTTTTTGGTATGTTATGATCTAGAGTTGGGATGGACAGAGGAGGTAAACTATAACCAAATAATTTAAACACTCATCATTCACTCTCATAGCTTTGTAAACCCACCTTTATTTTGATGATGCTTCCAAGTCTCTGTTTCCTCTTTAACCTTTCTTTTGAGCTCCAGGCCTGTATTCCAAATACTACCTACATAGCCCTAAGATATCTTACTTGGATGTCCCTAAATTAATACATTATTCACACTTCCTTTCCGTCTGTCCTTTCCCCAGTTCATGTACTATATGCTGGGTAGCCCATTTAGAAAGCTGAGTGTGACTTTTTTTTTATAGTAGCTTTTTATTTTTAATACCTATTATGCCATGAATTCATAGGGAAAAGGTTCCACCAATTTCTTTCCACTGAATGTGACAAAGCTTGCTATGCCTATTATGCCATCAGGGTTCCCGCACCTTATGCTTCTATTCAGCTGGTTCTCTTGGTTATCTTGTATGCTACACTGAACGCCTATTATGCCATGAATTCATAGGGAATGGGTTCCAGGAGTTCAGGCTCCTTTCCGTTGGTTCTCACAAAATGTGCTTCTCTGAGTGGAGCAGGCTGGTGGTTCAGTTGAACCCAGGTACCTTTCTCTTTGGCTTCCTTCTTTTTCTGATCATTTTCCTTCATGTGTTTTAGGAAGCTATCCTGGCTCTTATTATGCTTAATATGCTCAATACAGTATGCTTAATCTGCTTGGCAAGACTCTGGCCCTTGTTTGTTTACAACATTGCAAACAGCACAATGGGTAACATTGTAGACTCTTCAAGTTTTGCTGTGGTAATATTTATCTTCCTTTTGCCCCCTTTTTCATATGTATCCCCAAGTTCTGTTAATTCTACCTCCTAAAGTTTTCTCAAATCTGTCCCTTCTGTCTCTAGGGCCTCTAGCATAGTTCAAGCCTTCTTTCTCTTGCCTTTAACAGCCTCAATATTGATCTTCTTGCATCTAGATTTTCTGCCTTTCACAGTGGCACCAGAGTGGCCTTTGTATAAATAGGCTCTGCTCCTATTTAATTCCTTAATTTTTTTATTTCCTTGCTTATTTTTTATTTTTATTTCTTTGCTTTTTTGTTGTTGTTGAGACAGAGTCCCATCCTATGCCTCTGAGCAGAGTGCAGTGGCGTCATAGGTCACTGCCACCTCAGAATCAGGCTATGGGCATCTGCTGCCTCAGCCTCTGGAAGCTGCTGGGATTACTTACAGGCCCTCGCCGCAGCACTCAGCTGGGTTTTTCAATTTGAGGGGGGAGTCAGGGTCACATTTTCACTCATTGAGGGGGGAGTCAGGGTCACATTTTCACTCATTGAGGGGGGAGTCAGGGTCACATTTTCACTCAGGCAAGTCTCAAACTCCTGAGCTCAAGCAATTCTCTCTCCTCAGCCTCCCACAGTGCTGAGATTATAGGCATGAGCCACTGCACCCAAAAAATCTTAATTCCCTCCCATTGTCTATGGTAGGTGGTCTTAAAAGCCTGCTGCACAAGATGATTCCTTGGATTGCAGGAAGTAAATATTAGAACTGTTATGTTAAGTGGAAATGAAAGTAAGTCTTACTAATACTTAATACATAGATAGTGATCCAGTGTATTTTATAAACAGATATGCATGTGTTGAAGATATGTGATCAAATTGTTTTTTACTAAATACATTAAAAGGTTTGGATGCCCATCAGCCTGTAGGATTAAAATTCAGACTCTAATCTGACCCTTTATGGTTGCCCCATCTATTTCTCTATCCTTGACTTCTATATACCCTCCAGCAGTATCAAAATTCCTTGATTCCTAAATGTATTTTATTTTCAAACCTCTCTGCCTAGAAAGCCCATCTTGCTCACAACATGAGAATTACTTTTCTCATCCTTTATGACCTAGGCCAGTTGTTACCTCCTTTATGGTATTTTCTCCTACATCCTTTGTTGCTGATCCTAGAGAACTCATATTACCTTTTAGTGTAGGAGTCATCCCTTTGTGTTGAGTCCTCTATGGCAGTGACTTTAATAGTGCTTAGCAGTGGCACTAAATAACTATCTGTTCTATAGTTTCTGTCTGCATAAGTTCAGTGGAAATTATTCATAGACACATGGAATAGGAGATGATAGTTTGAAGGAGCGAGAATATTTTAAAGTCTGGGTTTTTAATATAGTGTAGCATGAAAACCTCAACAGTATTTTTTTAACACAGTCTGTCGCAGCTAGTTAACTCTGTCGTAGCACAAAAGGAGCATAGCCAATATGTAACTGAATGAGCATGACTGTTCCAATACAAGTTTACTTAAGGACACTGAAATTTGAATTTCATATAATTTGTGTTGTAAAATATTCTTTTGATTCTTTTTTTGGCAAATATTAAAAAATCTACAAACTACTCTTAGTTCATAGGCTATACAAAAACTAGGAAGTGAGCTTGTAGTTTTTCAGACCCATTGTTTAGACCATAGAAGGTTGCTTATTTTGTAATTATTATAAAAGACATTTGGATTTAATAGTAGAAATTGTTTGCCCCTACAGGTCCGCTTTTTATCTGATCTTGTGAATTGTCATGTGATTGCCGCCCCATCAATGGTAGCTATGTTTGAAAATTTTGTAAGTGTAACTCAGGAAGAAGATGTGCCTCAGGTAAGAAAACCCCTTATGCTGAATCCTCTCCATATAATACCACAAATTTTTTACTGGTAACCCTTTAACAATAAACAAAAGATAATAGCAGATAATCATACTATAACTTCTTGGTATCTAAAAGTTAATTGGCATCCTGGTGAGTTCTTATGACATTTCCACCTTAAAATGGTTGTGTCTAGTAAGGTTAGAACTAGCATATCTGAAAATGCTCTGAATGAGTCAGATGTGTTATTTAAATCTTATTAAATAGCTTTCTTAGTATTTTATTCAAGAATAAGTAAAAATGAAAAATTAATTGGTGCTGGTTTTAAACTTACCTTTTTAAAAATCCTTTAGGTGCGACGAGACTGGTATGTGTATGCATTTCTGTCATCTTTGCCCTGGGTTGGAAAGGAATTGTACGAAAAGAAAGATGCAGAGATGGACCGCATCTTTGCCAACACTGAAAGCTACCTTAAGTAAGGGCACAGCTCATAGTACTCTCTGTTGTTTAGGTAAAGGGTATCTTACTGATACAATGAATGTGTTATACATTTTGTCTATTGGTGATACACTGTAAGTTTGTCAAAAAGAAACTGAGTTCCTGAAGGTGTTTTGTATAGTGCTCTCCTTCTACTGTTGTAGCTCCCCTGACCTCAGAGTCACCAAATGTGTTTGCTTACTTTGCCAGTGTGAGGGAGTTGGTAACATAGCCTCTTAAAACACCCTAGTGTGATACCACAGTTCCTCAAATATTTGTATGGGCACAAATTACCTGGGTACTTAAAATGCTTGGACCCTGACCCCTAGACTTAGTGACTATTTGGGAGGCAGATTTAGCCATCTGTACTATTAATATATTCCACAGGTGGAAAACTGCTGTCCTCGTACATACTGTATATTTATTTGTTTCATGTCAGTTAATTCTAAACCAAGCTCTTAAAATAACAGTTCTTAATCTCTTACCTAGCCCATACTTCTTAAGTAATACAACATAATGACACATTTCAGTTAAAATAGTCCCGTATCTTCCCATTGTCCGTGTCTCCCAAGGCAATGTAAAAACTCGCTTTATCTTTGTAGATGTAATACTAATAATAAGCCTTGTTAGTAAACTTATGCTTGATTGCCCAGTGGCATGGTCATGGTTATGTGTCCCTGACGTTTTTTGTAGATTGATTTTACTATAAGTTTCATTTTGTATTAAGGTACTTCTTTGGATAACTGTTAATACCTACTTGGTTGGTTATAAATAAAGCTAAAAGTCTGAGAATCTTTTGTGTGTGTGTGTGTGTGTATACACACATATATCCTTTCTCTTTTTTGTACAGATGATAGTCTAATGTACACAGTGTTCTTCACTTGCTTTTTTTCTTACTGCAACTTGAATTTATTGCATAAAAGTATAAGGCTGTACCTCATTCTTTTTAACAGTTGTATAGTATTCAGTGTTTTAATGTACCATGATTTCTTTAACTGGTTCCCTGTTGGTAGACATTTAGGTTATTTCTAGTCTTTTGTTGTTTTAACAATGTTTCAAAGAATATCTTTGTGTGTGTGTGTGTGTGTGCATACATCTTTGTAGTGTGTGGAAATATGCTGTATTTATGGGGGATGTGAAATCTTAGAAATGGCGTTATTGGGTTGAAGGTTCTGAATAATTTTAATTTTGATAGATTTAGTCAAATTGCCTTCCAAAAAGATTGTACCAATTAACTTCTCTGCCAACAATGTTTGAGACTGAATCTTTACCTACACCTTGACGATGCAGAGTACATTATCAAAACAGTTGATATCTGCCAGTCTAATAGGTAAAAATTATTTCATTGCTCTAATTTTCACTATATTAATTATGAAACTGACTGAGCATTCTTTTACACTTTTAAAAACCTAAATCTAGACTTTCATTTTTATCTTTAGAAGACGCCAAAAGACTCATGTGCCCATGTTACAGGTATGGACTGCTGATAAACCACATCCACAAGAAGAGGTAAATTGATTTCTGCCTCTTGTATACACGTAGTCAGCTCTTGAGTAGATTCTTATCTCTGTAACATAGCAAACCGTTTCATTTGTACATCTTAGCTATGTTTCTACATTTCATGTCAGGGATCCACCTCCTTATAGTCCTAGGCTTACAATGTACTCATGTTTTTGCTTTTGGGTTTTTGTGAGGCAAAAGTCTCACTCTGTCATCCAGGTACAATACAGTGGAGTCATCATAGCTCACAGCAACCTCAAACTCTTGGGCTCAAATGATCCTCCGGCCTCAGCCTCCTGAGTCGCTAGGACTACAGGTGCATGTCACCATGCCCAGCTAATTATTTTGGTTTTTAGTAGAGATGATGTCTTGCTTTTGCTCAGGCTGGTCTTGAACTCCCAAACTGCTTGAGCAGTCCTTCAGCCTTAGCCTCCCAGAATGCTAGGAATATAGGTGTGAGCCACATGCCCGATCCACAGTGTATTTTTAATAAATATTCCAGTGTAATTGAAACATCCTCTTGTTCCGAAGGATTCTAGCTATCATAGCATTGACATTTTTTATTTAAATGTTTGATTTGAAGAATGGAAGAGGAAACAGCTTCAAGCAGATAGGTTTTATAAAATAAGTAATTAAACAATACAGATGGGAGGAATAAGTTCTAGTGTTCTGTGCCATACTATAGGATGACTATAGGTAAGAAAAATGTATTTTTTCAGCCAGGTGCTAAAGTATCAGAAGGATATTGAACATTTTCAACACAAAGAAATGATAAATGTGTGGCATGATGGATTGTAACAAAACTATGACCCATGAATATACAATTTGTTAATTAAAAAATTACGTAATTAACCAAATAAATAAAAACGTAACACCCTCTTTTGTACCATTTTTAATTGTACATTAGCTTATTTTGGTAGCCTTTGTGAATTTTTATTTTGTGTAGTCAAAATGTTATTTTATTTATTAAAAATTAATCTGTCTTCAGTATTTAGATTGCCTGTGGGCCCAGATTCAGAAATTGAAAAAGGATCGCTGGCAGGAACGGCACATCCTAAGACCTTATCTTGCCTTTGACAGCATCCTGTGTGAAGCACTACAGCACAATCTGCCTCCTTTTACACCACCTCCTCACACTGAAGATTCAGTGTACCCAATGCCAAGGGTCATCTTCAGAATGTTTGATTACACAGACGATCCTGAGGTATGTTACTAATAAAACTTCCTGGCTCGGCACCTATGGCTCAAGTGGCTAAGGCGCCAGCCATGTACACCCAAGGTGGCTGGTTCAAATCCAGCCCGGGCCACCAAACAACAATGATGGCTGCAACCAAAAAATAGCCTGGTGTTGTGGCAGGCGCCTGTGGTCCCAGCTACTCGGCAGGCTGAGGCAGGAGACTCGCTTGAGCCCAGGAGTTGGAGGTTGCTATGAGCTGTGATGCCACAGCACTCTACCCAGGGGGACAGCTTGAGGCTCTGTCTCAAAAGAAAAAAAAACAACTTCCTAAATAGGGCCTGTGTTACATTATACTTGCAGTTTAGTCTTGCTTAAATTATGCCTGTGATACGCTTTAATTTTAAGTTGTCTTTTATCTAAGAATGTCAGTGGCAATAAAGTTAACTTTTTAGTCAGTGAATGTTATCACTGATTAATAAATTATATCTGGCATGTGTAAATAGATTAGAGAGACATGTATAGTGTACAGATTAAGAGTGAAAGTTTGAGAGCCAGATTAATTTGTTTTAATCCTAGTTTAGCCATAAACTAGCTGCGTGATCTTGGGTGAGTTATTTACCTCTAGGAGCCTTAGTTTCCTAAAGGAATAATAATAGTAGTATCTCATAATCTACTTATAAGGATTGAGTTAACACATGTGAAATGCACAGGATAGTGCCTGACACATGATGAATGCCCAGCAATTTTAGCTGTTGTTAATAAGGCTGTTAGCTAAATTTAGAGATTGTCCATCTCTTTCTAGGCAGCACAGCTTGTTGCTATTCATATTGTGTGATTATTTAAAACAAATACTAAAAAGTACTTTTAATTAAACTCAAAAGATCAGTGTAAGTGGACTTCATCTTTTTTAAATATATATATTCTTTACTGTGACACCCATTATACTTTAACATGTAAGAAAACATAATTTCAATATTATTTGGTGTTAAAATTTATATTATAACTTGCATTAATTATTTTCTATCATTGCACTTTTATGATTCTGTTATACAGCCAGTCAGCAAGCCCAGTGATTACTAGATTATTCTGAATGGAAGCTTGCCTGACTAAAGTACAGTATCTTTTGCTCAGTATATTCCAGTCAGCATGGAACAGGGTTTCTCATCTGCAGCACAAATGACATTTGGGAGTGGATCGTTTTTCCCTGTGGGGGTCTGTACTGTGTATTGGAAGATGCTTGGCCAGCTTCCCTGGTCTCTGCCCTCTAGTTTCTAGTAGCACTTCCCTTGACTCAGCTGTGACAACCAAAAATGTCTCCAGGGATTGCCAAATGTCGCCTTATGGGCAAAATTGCTCTTAGTTGAGAACTCCTGGCATAATAACCCGTATTACCACCTAGGGTGAAATTTGAGTTTCTTTTTCCTATCTTCTGTTTTTCTGCCCTGAGGTAAAGTGTTTATGAGCAGTGGGACTTTAGTATGCATGTAATCTATTTCAGAATTTGCTGTTTTATCACTGCCATATGCCAAATTATCAACTTGCCCCCTACTTTTCTATATTTCATATGTAATAAAATACTATTTATTCAAAATTGTGTAATGGTCTGCAAAGGTATATTTAACTGAGAATCTAGTTTACATTTAAGACAGGTAAAGTCTTTGGAATTAAGTATTATGCAGGGGAAACTAGAATGGGACCTCAAAATTTGTTTCTTCTGTACTGTTTATGTAGCATTTGTTTGATAATGCCTCTGTAATGTGCCTATCTATCCTTCACCATAAAAGTATAAATATATAAAATGTTTGTTACCTTCAAAATGATAGAGAAAATTCAAGCAAAATCTTCCCAAAGTCATCATTAAGGGTTTAATATATGCTCTTTGGACATATTTGCTATGAATTAATTAAGAAAATTAATATTATACAGGTACTATTTCTTAACCTTAATGTTTAGGGACATCTTTCAGTGCACACTTGATTTTTTATATCTATATAGTATTTGAATAAAATGTTCTCTCCATATTTGTTAATGAAAGTAATCCATTCTTGTGGTTTAAAAAATAAGCAATATAAGCTTGTAATATACAAAAATTACTTAGTTTGTTTCACATAAGAACAGATATGAAAAGTGGGCAATGGTGACATGGCATCAGATATAGTAGAAAAAATACCCCAGCTGACACTCTGATTTTATTGTAGGTAAGTGAACACAATGAAATTTGCTGAAATACAGAACTTTAACACTTCAGAACTTTTATCCCCTTAACTTTTACCACCTAATACAGTGCCTAGAACATAAAATTCTCTCAAATACTTGTTGAATAAGTGAAAGAAATCTGTTTTCTCCATTGTATGTGTATAAGTTTTGTTTTGTTTTCTTGCCAGGGTCCTGTTATGCCAGGAAGTCATTCAGTGGAAAGATTTGTAATAGAAGAGAATCTTCACTGCATCATTAAGTCTCATTGGAAGGAAAGGAAGACCTGGTAAGATTCTTTTTGTGATACTTTTGAGGGGAGAAAAACCAGTGATGTTGGTGAGTCAGTGGGACTGAAATTCCTGTTCAGAGTATAAGAAAATCTTTCTATTCTCCTGTTTCCCTGTCTTACTAAAACCAATCTCTAGAATCACTAACTTTCTTGAGGCTCTTCATCCTCAAGTAGTACTTTTCTGGGTGTGTTATGGTACCTGTTATATCCGCATGTAATACTGAGGTTTTGTGCGATATTTGACATATGCTCTAGAGAACTTGAATGGCAGGCTATTTTTGGTTTAGATGTATGGGAGTAAATAAATAGTAAGGTTTTGCTCTTTTAACAATTTAGATACCCAAGCCTTGGAAGAGTTTAATAAAATTTTCTTAGAGCTTGGAAGGTTTTGGTTCAGATTTTAAGGTAGAAAAAGATATAGTAGTATTTGGGGAGTGTTCCACCTGATTCAAACCTGTTTTTAATAATAGGTCTGAATGTGCTTCCTTAGTATCAGTGGGCTGCTTTTGATCTTTCAAGAAATTTTGGATACGTTAGAAATTTTCCTACAGGTAGACAAAATAATTTATGCCATAATTAAGTGAAATAACTGAAATATAGAACATTTCAGAAAAGATTTTTCTTTCTTTATATCTAAACACTCTGCTTTCAAAAATGCTTACTTGATTTTTCATTTCTTTGCATACTTATTAAACTTAAATTATGCTTTTTATAGCGCTGCACAGCTAGTGAGCTATCCCGGGAAGAACAAGATCCCCTTGAACTACCACATAGTTGAGGTATGCATTCCATGTGGAGATTGTTTCTAAATTTTAGAATCTTTCTGTTGACTTTAAAGTATAATCTACTCTTGGCTATTTATTTTTTTTCCTTGCTACTTGTCAGGAACTGAAAATTAACAGAGGAGCGAGGAAATTGCTATCAGTTTTGGTGCTCTGTTAGCCATGTTAGTAAAGAGAGAAAAGGACTTTTGAATTGCCTATGAATTATTTATATAGTATATCTTCATTCATGGATAATGTAAGTTACCTCTAGCTTTGTCACTACATTGTCCACTTAACAAATTTATAAGTGGCTTAGATACCTTAAAATGTTGTTAGGCAGATAATGTATTTTTGGCTATGTTTATCCAGCCTCTTAAATTAGTATACACTATATCAGTCGTTCTCAACCTTTCTAATACCACAACCCTTTAATACAGTTCCTTATGTTGTGGTGATCCCCAACCACAAAATTACTTCCATTGCTACTTCATAACTGTAATTTTTGCTACTGTTATGAATCATATGAATTAACCCCTGTGAAAGGGTTGTTAGACCCCCAAAGGGGTCATGACCCACAGGTTGCAAACCGTTGCACTGCATATTATATTAACATACACTGTAACATACACTGACTAGTATATTACTGTGTATTTTCTATTACACGGGTTTGAGGTGAACATTTATTGTTAAAGATCAAAAGAACCAAGCAGTTTAGAAGTAGGAAGAATAAAAATGCTTTTGACCCTGTATTAACTCATACAAAGGGTTGATGTTAATACAGTTGAATACCTTGTAGAAATTTATGTCCCCAAAAGTGTTTTCACTTGATCACCTGAGTCAACTGTTAACTGCATTATTCCCTTATGTTAGAATATTATAATTAAAGAGAGAGCATAGTTGGATATATTAAGATTTACATTTTATTCAGATTACACTTCTGTGCTTTTTCAAAATCTTTTTGAGTATTGTATATGTCCTTTCTTTTAAAACTTGAGAGTGTGCTTAACACTGTGAACTTGGCTTGTTGACATGCAAACTATAACTCATATTTTTAAATCTGCAAAATGTGTAGCAATTCATCAGATTGAAGCATAAGAGTATAAGAGATGGGGTAAGAATGAAGACCAGGGCTTTAGATTTCTGTGTAGGTAGGCCACCAATCATATAGAGCAGCGGCTCTCAACCTGTGGGTTGCCACCCCTAATATCAAATATTTACGTTATGATTCATAACAGTAGCAAAAATTACAGTTATGAAGTAGCAATGAAAATAATTGTATGGTTGAGGGTCACCACAACATGAGGCTGTATTAAAGGGTTGCGGCATTAAGGAGGTTGAGAACCACTGATATAGAGAGAAGTTCTGAATAAGAAGCATGCAGAAAAGTCTTGGACTATCAAAAGATCTAGGCATCTATTTCAAATAGCAGTGTTAAATGACTGTTTCCCATCATCAGAGTCTAATAGAGGTTCTTACTACTTATAGGACTAAAACTCTAATGGATCTATTAAGCCCCTCAGAAAACTACCTCACTAAATTAACTTTGATACTTCCAGAGTTGGAATTTAATTGCACAATTCTCTGAGAGGAGTTTGGATCAAATAAGCATTAATCTTATAAACTTTATTTGATTGAATTATAGAGAGGATATGGTACTTCTAGATCTGTGTGTTTGAAAGAACATAATTGTAAAGGTTAAAAATAACTTATTATGAATGCCATGGGGTCACAGTTTAGATTTGGAATGTTAAGGTCTTTCTGATGGTAGAAGTGCAAAAGTAGCAGCTGATTGAGTTCTGATTCATAATCCTCTTGCAGGTGATATTTGCAGAGCTTTTTCAACTTCCAGCACCCCCTCACATTGATGTGATGTATACTACACTTCTCATCGAACTGTGCAAACTTCAACCGGGCTCTCTACCCCAAGTTGTATCCTTTTTGTTTGTTTGTATTTAAACTAACTCTCTTTGGCCTAGCTTTGAAAGGTTTGTGGGTTTCAATTTTATAAGTTATAATAATAGCTTTGAAATGTGTGTGTGTATACATTACATATATGTACTTGTATGTCTATAAATATGTATGTATCTAAAAATAAGTAGATACATACTTCACTATTTGGGTCAAGAAGTTCAAGGAAATACTATGAATATAAAAGAGGAAAGGTTGGCATTTTTAATTTTCAAGGGAAGAAAAAAATTTTTTTCCTTAAATCCCTTGAAGTTTTTAGAAAAAAATTTTAATTCTCCTAAACTAACATACAATCTTCCTATCTTAGATCCCTAGGAGGTTAGATGTTCATTTGACTAGAGAACAAGGACGAATAATGCCTTGCAAACCAATGTTCTGTCACTAATATAAAAATAAATGGCTCTCTTTCCAGATTGAAAATAGTACTAATATCTTAATGAGCTAAATTTTCTCAACTTCAATTTTATTCCACTAAGGTTTAAGTTAATACGTAACACCCCCCCCCCACGTTATGAACAGAATATGTTGCCATACCCTAAAATCTCCTTTTGTCCCCTTCCCTAGTAGGAGTACTCTATTCCCACCCCTATACTAGCTGCTCTTTCGCTTTTTAAAATCCATGTTATCTCAAATATGAAAAGAATGTATAATCTGCCATTTTGGGGTTCACGGTTCTCTGTTAAGTTCATTAGATCAGGTTCATTGTTTTTAAATTTTTCACTCTCTTTAATTTTCTTATTCCTGCTGCTTCTCAAATTAATTTCTGACCTGTTAGGTGATAATTTAGAAAACTCTTAAATTTTGTTTTTTCAGATCAAGTTTAATTTGAGCTTGATATTTGGAGCTGAAAGGATAAAATTGCTTTATACCATAATGTTTATTTAGATGTGTTCACATAATCAGCTACTTTTAGGCATCTAAAAAATGGTATCTCACTATATTGCTCAGGCTGGTCTGGAACGCTGCAGCCACCTCAGCCTCCCCGTGCTAGGATTACAGTTGTGAGCCACTATACCAGTGGCTCAGTTTGGTATTTTAACAAGTCAAATATACAGTTATACAATCCAGCCAGTCCCCCTCCTAGGCGTTTACCCAAGGGGAGTGAAAGCATATATTTCCACAAGGACTTGGGCTTTCATAGAAACTTTATTTGTAATCTCCCCAAACTGGAAGTAATCCACATGTTCATTAACACATGACTGAGTAAGCATATTTTGTTATATTCTTGTAATGGATACTACTCAGCAATACAAAGGAACAAGTTTTTGATGCAGGCAATGACATGAATAAATTGAAAAATAATTATGCTGAGTGAAAGATGCCAAACAAAAATTAATACTATATGATTCAATTTATGTAAAGTCTTAGAAAAATGCAAAATTATCTAGTGACAGAAGACTAATGGTTGCTTGGGGAGGGGAGATAAAGAGGGAGATGAGGGGAATGGATTGCAAAGGAATATGGGGAAATTTTGGAGGTGATATAAATATTCATTATCTTGACTTCATGTGTGTGTGCAGGTTAAACTTACTCTACACTGTTGAACTTAAAAGCTATAAAAAAGCTCAAAAGATAGATCAGTTATGTAAAAACATGCTCAACATGCTCAACATTGGTAGTCATTATAAAGACTTACCAAAAATGTTTTAATTTTTCTTTGTTGTAATTTATTTTGGAGGAGGGTGGAGAATAGTTTTCCTTATCTTCAAATTCTCAGCTTGCACAGGCAACTGAAATGTTATATATGCGTTTGGACACAATGAATACTACATGTGTAGACAGGTACAGTAACTATCTTATTTCTATACTATCAGTAGGTTCTACTTCTTATATGTTAGAAAGGAATTTAATCAAGATATTTGCCCTTTTGAGAATTTCCATGTTAAGTTTCCTTTCTTGCCTCTCCATTTACTTGTTGTAATGTAATGTTACATTTTTGGTGCCCATGCTGTAGTTTTAATTTTATTCACTGTTAAGGTATTTGGTACTTTGGTACCATTTTACTCTTTTCCTCTGTAATTGCATATATATCCTTTAAAAATATGTTTTATGTTAATAACCTTTGTATAAGGAGATTCAATCTAATCTGTATATTATTATATATCAATAGTATATATTTTTTGTTTGTTTATAGGTAATATCTGCTTCTAAACTTTAGCTTCTACATAGAAGTCTTTTCAAACCTACAGCATCAAGACTCTCAGATTATATAAAGATCATATTATAGGGTTTTTATAGCTGTACTAATTCCTAGTGCAAAAGGAAATGCCCCCTATTTCCTTTTGGTTGAGGTCTGTGTGGTCACCTTTATTAGCTGGTATTCTTTCTGAATCTGTCAGTTTTCCAAATCAAATAAGGACAGGTATTGAGTACTTCTCCAATTTCTATGTCTGTTGTTCAAATTCCACATCTGAAAATTATCATTAAGGGCTATCTTGTGTCATTGAGGGACATATTTTAAGAGAGTTAGAGATCAGTATTTTTAGGGAAACGGGGTGTCAGTGATGTATTTTGTTTGTATTAGAAAGGCCATGCTGTGATAAGAGACTATATTTTCACTCTACCATTTATAATTTTTTTTTTTTTTTGGCTTCAGCTTCATCATCTACGTGTAATAAATTATCTCAGAAGTTGTGAGAATTAAGTTACTATATAGATGAGGGGTATTTAACCTGTAGGAATTTTGTGAGGACATTTTTTGCTTAACTGTGGTGTCAGACATTACCAAAAGTATGCATGGACCTTTGTTTTTCATTAGTGTTTGTGTATTCTGTGCCTGGAGACAGCTCTCATTCCAGTGTGTGGCAGAGAAAAAAAAGGTTGAACCCCCTGATATCGACATATATAAATGCCTGTACAAAACTGGTTCATATCTTATTCACCTAAAAAAGATAAAGATAAAAAAGATAAAGGACAGCACTGTTAGAAGAAGTGAGTTAGAGGACTATTTAAAAAAATGAGCTACAAGATTTGCAGAGAAAAGAATTAGTGGCAGGAGGGCGTATAGTTGCAGGTAGAGGGATGTGCTTGTCTCTCTAAAATAGGTTTTATCTGTTTTGGAGGACTATTTAAGTTTCTTTTCTAAATTGTAACCTTTTTTCCTTTTTCTTTCCCTACCCCCACTTTTCTATATAGGTTTATTAATTGGTTTTCTCATCATCTAAGTAACTTTCAGTTCCGTTGGAGCTGGGAAGATTGGTAAGTGATGATGTGTTTTCTCCTTCCTTTCTCTAGTCAAAAAACTGTTAATGTTTAAAACTGTAACATAAAAGCAACCTTCACTGTTTAGTTTCTGTGATATTTATTTACTATGTGTAAATGAAACAGTAGGTAGAAGGCAACTACTGTATTTATAGTTAAGTACAAATAATTATAAGTACAGTTAACTTAAAGTTCTGATTGTGTGTAATAACTTATTTTAAAAAAACCACATTCCCTCAATAGGTCAGATTGTCTTACTCAAGATCCTGAAAGTCCTAAACCAAAGTTTGTAAGAGAAGTTCTAGAAAAATGTATGAGGTAAGTACTTTATGTTTTGTCTGTATTTTAGGTCTCTTCATTTCTGAGGGGGGCTTTTTCTCATCTCTGCATTTGTAATGTATGTTCAGAATACCATTTTTGAAATCCAGGTATTCACCTTCAATCTGATTTTTTAATTAAGATGAAACCTGAAAAAATTAGGTGGCCAGTGCTTCTAGATTCTATGTGAATTAAGCTAGTAAGTTCTTTTAAAAATATTACTCTTTGAAATGATTTCAAATTTATAGAAAAGCTGCCAAAATATTATATATAGTACAGAGAACCCTGTATCCTGTTCACCTGGATTTTCTCCCTCCTTGATAACATTTGTCTTATTTACTGTCATGCTCACTCCTTTTTACCCCTTTCTAGATCTTTTTAGACCAAGACATTGGTCTTGAGAATAAAGTGCAGACATGGCAGCCCATCCTTCCACAATCCATTACATATTTCCTCAAAACAAAGCTACTCTCCAACAGAGCCAGCAAATGGCTCTCCGATTGAAGAAACCAGCTGTTGTGTAGCACTACCATGCAGTCTGCAGATGCTGCTGAAATTGGGCAAGCCATCTCAAGAATGTCTTTTTTCCTTTCTGGTCCAGAGTCCTATCCAGGAACATGTATAGCATTGAGTTGTCATTCTCTTCAGACTCTTTTGATCTTATGCACTTATTCTTTTTCTGTCTTTTGCATCCTTGTCGATTTTAAAGAGTCTAGACCTTACTTTATTGGATTGCTCTAATATTTCCTCATGAGCAGGCTCAGATCTTACATTATTGTTGTTCTCAATGTGTCCTGTCTAGAGGCACATGAATCCCATATCTTGATGTTACTTTCGATCACCTGGTCATGTCAGTGTCTGCAGGTTTCTCCCATCCAAGTACTAACCAGGCTCGACCCTGCTTAGCTTCTGAGATCAGACGAGATCAGGCGCGTTCAGGGTGGTATGGCCATAGATTGTCTGCTGGTTTCTACACCTTTTTCCTCTGGTAATTGATTAGTATTTTGCGGGAGATATTCTTAAGTTGCACTCTTAGACTGTTTTTTTCAATCCTCCACTCTTCACTGAAAACTTACTTTTTATCAGCCACCACTGAGATAATTGCCAAATGATGATTTTCTTTTTACACTATTTTGTCTGCATTTATTAGCTGGCATTGTACTGTAAAAAAGAGCTATTCTTTCTCTTCATCTTTTTATTCCTTTATGTGTATATCAGTAGAGGCTAATGAATTTCTGTTTCATTCAATGTATTATAAACTCTGACATTATGTATTATGATGTCTAGTTTATCCACAGAGATCCCAGTACGCCCTTTGTCTTTTCTTTAAAAGTCTTCCACTACCATTCATTGAGCATTTTCTTATTTTCTGCACAAGATGTTCTAGGCTTATCTTATGTTTCCTTGCCCCTACCCTAGAATCATCTATTTATTCAAAGAGCGTAGTATCTACTAGAAGAGAATATTATTTCGGAACCAAGATCTGGGCACTTGAGATACACATTGCCATTGGAATGTCATTGGTTCTAGGCCTTCTCAGTGGACACACATATGTACATCTGTAAATCTGTATTCTATCTACCTGTGTATGTATCCCTACAATTCCAATCCAACATTTCACTGTTACTAGCTGCCTTCTCTGCCATGATCTGTAAATACCTTCTCAAGCAGTAAGAAACTTGGTTCTTAATATCCTCAGTATGTATTTAGTAAAATATAACCATCTCCCAACCATACAAACCATCATCTCCACCCCACTCCACTATCACCCCACGTCCTTAGCTACCAGGCTTTGGGCTCACTAATGTATACCTGAGTGCACACCAATAAGTTCTGAAGTAGGCCTGAGATTTGGTGTGCTGGCTTCGACAACAGCCTAAAGGACTTTTTTCCCCCTTTATTTCTTTGTTGTCAGCTGAGTTCAGGGTACTGGACATTGTGACTTTCCAGATAAGTTGGGTGTTACCAAAGAATACAACTGATGAAAGACATTTTCTGAGGCTGTTATTTGTATTGTAGGTTGTCTTACCATCAGCGTATATTAGATATTGTTCCTCCTACCTTCTCAGCTCTATGTCCTGCAAACCCAACCTGCATTTACAAGTATGGAGATGAAAGTAGCAGTAAGTAACAAAATAAAACAAATCCTTTTGTCTTTAAAAAGTACAATGCAAGTATATTTGAAGTCACTTATTTAAAGTGGAGACATCGAGCTTTTTTTCCCCCTTGGGTTTATATTTTCTCTGTTTGAAAAGTGGCCTGTCAATAGCCACTGTTGTTTTATTTGCCTTTTCATCACTTTGAGGATTTTGTTGTGATCTAACTAGTTATTACTGGCTTACATTTTTTTTCTCTTGCTATACTATTTATAGTGTTATATCCATGATATTATTTTAAGTGTAGTACTGAATATAGTAAGATGAATTGATAGCCAGAACTCCCTAAATTTAAAATATGTATTTGTCATGATGATGGAGATAAATTATCATCTTCTAATAGTTCAGGTGTGCTATTGGGAACAGACATACACACAGTCTGTGGCAGTATGCCTCTGGAAGTAATTCTTAAGTATGATGTCCTTTCCTTTTGCTTACATCATCTCTGATTGCACCATAAATCAGAAGAACTATAATTTGATATACCATTTTCACTTTGCATATTACATAGTGCTTATGTTTACTGAAAGTAAAGTTTTACTTGTGCATTGGCAATCGCTAGTAGAGAGTTAGGTGTAGAGTTTTTCCAAGTTTTTTTTTTTCAGGATGCACTGACCACACAGCCCCTCTATGAACCTTTCATGTTGTGTAGAGGTTTTTATAGGGGTGGAGAGCCTGTGGTCTTGGGCCACATGTGGTCATCTGGATGCCTGAGGGCTGCCTTTTGTCTGAGTCCAAATTTTACAGAACAAATCCTTTTTAAAAGGGCTGCTGCAGAGAAAGATGAAGCTTTTTTTGCCTTTTGTGGTGCATAAAAGGGAATAATTTTGAAATCAGAAGTCTGCATGTTCCTCACCCACAATTCTTACAACACCTGTTTTCCTTAAAATAAACTTCATTGGTCCTGATGCTAAGTACATTTCCTGTGTTATGCCAAATCTGAGAAATGGGTATGATTATATGGGAAAATGGCTCCAAGAGATCAAGCCAGATGAGATTGCTTCTGAGTGGCGAAGCCAGATTCATGTTCAGGTTTACTGACCGAGCAGCTATGCCCTTAGCCACTGTGCTTTCTGGGAGATGAAAGAATCATACAGCACTTTGAAGTGCAAGATTTTGAGTTTTGTCTTGTGCTAGCTCAGAGAATCAAAGGTACAGTCTTTGCTATCAGAGAGGGCAGCACCTGTGGCTTAAAGGAGTAAGGTGCCGGCTCCATATGCTAGAGGTGGCGAGTTCAAACCCAGCCCTAGCCAAAAACTGAAAAAAAAAAACAAAACAAAACAAAAAAGAATCTGTTTGCTATCAGAGAGCTCAGACTTTGGTTGAAAATGGAATTTTCCTTTTTTCCTATAGGAATAACTCAGCTACCATTCAAGGCCTTGGTAGCAGTTGTTCCTACTTTATTATTTTTCATTTCTTCCCAAATGGGGCCATGTCCTTTTCTGTTTTTTCCATACTTCTTGTTCTTGGCTTTGCTTTTGCATCTTTATCCCCATCTGGAAAGCCCTCTCTCTAGATCCTCTTCTCTTTCTAGGGTCTATCTAGCCCAAGCCCCGCTCCTATAAATATTTTTTAACTTTTAGCAAGACAGTTTTGTAATGCTGTCTGGCTATGTCTTGTACGAATATCTTGGTTCCCTGGCTAGGAAATACACTCTTTAGTGACAGAGGATTCTGTTTTTTTTCCAATTTCTTTCAAGACAGGATTGCCTTTTTTGTTACCTTTTTGTCTTCCATACATTAAAAACAGATTTCTGTTGCTCTAAGGATGCCTTACAGTATACACCTGCACAAATTTTATATAATAAGGACTCAGCTGATATTAACCAGTAGTAAACACAAAGAGTCACATTACATGAGCATCTGACTTAGATTCAAACTTGTGGACCCAGCAAAAGAGAAAAGCCATTAAAAAGAAAAAACTCTCTTACTTGTTCAAACTCAAACTTAGTTTCTGCTGTCCCAGGGGAAAGGAGGAAGAGCATATTAGCAAAATGAAAGAGAAATGGATTGATTCTTGCCTTTTGAGCCGGAGAGAATTAAAGGCATTTTAAAAAAGCCCTAACTGTACCTACTCTTCTCATCCCTCTTCTTGAGGAGGATCAGCATCCCTTGCACTCTGTGTGGATTTCAATTAGCTGAGTGTTGTTAAGGAAGTGTTGAAATGAGAATTAATTTTTTTTTTAAGGTGAAGAACCATTAACTTATTAAAGGAAATTTTCACATGTAGTATCTTTGTGCAGATTAAATATTGCTCTTGATATAGAGTATTCTATTTTGAAAGGAAATAAATTTTTTAAAATTTTTCATGTATTTAACTATTCATAAGTCTTTAAACCTAATCTTCCTTTCTCGCCTTTCTGTTTAGATTCTCTTCCTGGACATTCTGTAGCCCTTTGTTTAGCTGTTGCCTTTAAAAGTAAGGCAACCAATGATGAAATCTTCAGCATTTTGAAAGATGTACCAAATCCTAACCAGGATGATGATGATGGTAAGGGAATTGAATGTTTCTTGAGTGGACCTATGTACAGGCCAAGTTAAAAACATAAACATTACTCTGCCAACATGAATCCCTTTTAAATCCCATTGGATACTCATAAAGCAATATATCTGTTTGGCCTGTTTAGCATGTAAATAGTTCTTAGGACCCCAGGTACATAAAAAAAGATCCTATCATATCTGAATAGTTTACATTAAGAATATAAACTTTATCTGAAATATAAAGTAATCATTCCAGGATTTTTAAACATTCTCTGCTTTCACCACAGGTCCCTGAATAGAAAGACTTGGTGTGTTATAAAGTCGGATGTGTTCTTCAAATTGAGCTGTTATAATAATGTTAAACGTTTACTGAGTTATGTGTCATGTAATTTCAACCAGAATCCTAGTTTTTTCTCTGAACAAGGGTGGGAAAATTGACAATAATTTATAAGTTTACCTCAATCATTAAATGGATAAGGAAAAAAATGATGAAAGGGACTTGCCTTACTACATATTAAAACATATTGCGAAAACCACAGTAACTAACACAGTGTGGCACTGGCACACAAAGACAAACTAGTGGAAACTAGTGGAATGATGATGAGTCTACTGGGACAAGTAGGTAACAATTGTGGGTGGGTGTTTTTTGATAGATCCATACATAAGGACATGCACATAGGAAAACTACTTAAGAATCAAATAAAACATTAGTGGTCATTGGGTATTAATTACTGGGATTTTGTTCAGATTTCTCTAAGAAATTCTAAAGAAATAGGTTATGCAGAAAGATGGGGAAAGCAGTTCCATAAAATTAAGAAGATTATGTTACTTTTATACATACTATTTTGAGTATTTGAATCAGTGATAGTCTTTTATTGCTTATTAGTACTGAAAGATATTACACAAGTATCTGACTTAGTGTTTGGATGTGAACCTGCCATCTGTTCAGCATTTGAGGTGAGTCACCAAGACTTTAAATTTTTCTGTCTTATTATGAATTATTTTTCAGATGAAGGATTCAGTTTTAACCCTTTGAAAATAGAAGTCTTTGTACAGACTCTGCTACATTTGGCAGCTAAGTCGTTCAGCCATTCCTTCAGTGCTCTTGCAAAGTAAGTGAAACAGGAATTGAGAGTTCAGAACTTTGCTTGGCGAACACCATTGATAGAGTAATTTTTACCTGAAATTCTTGTATCTGAACATGTTCATAGTATTATACAGTTCAGTATAGTGAGTTTTGGTTTGTGGTAGCTAAACTTCCATGGCTTTGGTCATTCTGTATGTACAGCTCACATGTGTACAGCAAAGTAAATTTTTTTCATATAGACAATTAGAGAAGTTAGTGAAGAGCTAGGTCCTTAGGACAGCCAGAACCTAGGTGTTTATACAGTCAGAAGCTCCTGCTCTATCTAAGCATCTTCCCAGAGGAAGTTAAGAAGAAATGAGAACCAACTACATTGTTGGGAGCCACCCAAAGGTTGGCATCTAAAGACAGAGTTCTCTAACTTTTCAGAGTCCAAAAGAAGAAAAAGCGTACAGATTTTCCTTTAGCCAAGCAGAGAAACCAGACATCTCACCCCATCTCAGCTTCCAAGGCTCTGTATTACTTGCAGAGCTCCCACAGAAGATGTAGTCAGAATATTTTACCATGTTAGAAGACAGTTCCTTACCCTTTACCTATTCTAAACGATGGTATGGTATAGTCCTGGGCTAGCAATAGTATATGATAAATATCTTAAGATTTTGTGACAGCTTCCATAGCTGTCTCTGATCATACCTTTTATTTCTTAATGGTTATTGGTTAATTTGGTTATTTTGTATTTACATATCACATTACAAATTAACATTGAAAGGTTTTGAAATGCTTAATGAATAAGTATTATGGTATTTTCCCCTCATTATCAAAAGGTTTCATGAAGTCTTCAAAACCCTTGCTGAAAGTGATGAAGGAAAGTTACATGTGCTAAGAGTTATGTTTGAAGTCTGGAGGAACCATCCACAGGTAAATTAGACATGTTGAGGCTCGGGTTGTATAGGTATAAAAATAAGGCACTTAGAGTGGCGCCTGTGGCTCAAAGGAGTAGGGCGCCGGCCCCATATGCCGGAGGTGGCAGGTTCAAACCCAGCCCCGGCCAAAAACTGCAAAAAATAAATAAATAAGGCACTTAATTAACACTGTTTTAGTTTGAAAAATATGAAATTTGACTATGTCCATAAAATGGTTTCAAGATCTGTAATTGTTTTAGCACTGTGAGAGTAATGGTAATTAATTCATTCTTTAAACAGTGTTAGCATTTGTTTTTGGACTGTAATATCAATACATTTTAAATACTTGGTAAGAGTGCTTGTTGCTTGGAAGATTCTACCACTTGGCTAGGAAATTATCTAGTCTAGCCAGTTTCTATAAGCAAGCTGCAAATTTCTCAAATCTCAATATATTGTCTTTAATATATTATAAAGAGACATTGAAACAATGGTTTTTATGTTTTAATTGAAATTACATAAATCTTTTGTATTGGTATTATCTAAGTTTTTTTTTTAATTGTAAGTGTTACCACTCAAGAGTTTTTCTTTTTTGTTTAGTCAGTCCTTATTGGTATCATGTATTTTATACAGTACTAGATCTGACCAAAGGGCTGAAGAAATCTGAAGATATAATGGTCGAATTGATCAATTCCAGAGCCACTAAAAGTGAATTTCATAGCCCTCTTGTTTTACTTTTGTAGCAGTAGTATTCTTTAGGGCTAGAGGCATGCGTGAGCGATTTACTCAGATAATTCTTTCATTGTAGATGATTGCTGTCCTAGTGGATAAGATGATTCGTACGCAGATTGTTGACTGTGCTGCAGTAGCAAATTGGATCTTCTCTTCAGAACTGTCTCGTGACTTCACTAGGTAATGTGAATTATTTCATTAAGTTTGTGCTCTCTGAGAATTGGTATTCATATGGTCTCTTATACATGAGCTCTAAAGAAGTCGATATTAATATACTAATGTTCTACGCTAATAGGATCAGACATAGCAAAAATTCCTAGACTGTGCAAATATACACAGCCAGTTAGGTTGCACTGTTTCTTCGGACATACTCATTGAGTTGAATCAGGACTAAAGCAGTCAGGTGGAAAGCTACTGGAAAGAAAACCAGCAAGAACTGTCTACATATTGGGGTCACAGATGAGATTCAGGAACAGTGCTAGCTTCAGTGGGGATGAGACCAGGAATGCACACCTGGAATTAGGAGGGATGGGGCAAGCCCTGTAGGTATCATGATGCCTGGGGGTGGGGGCATTCTCTCACTGCAGTCAGAAAATCCTAGATTTATCCTATTAAGATTCATTCTGTACTCAAGGAAAGAAACATTTCACTAAGTTTGGTTCTTAATTGGGAAATTTCTTAGGCTTTATATTTGTTCAGAATTGGAACAGCCAGAATTGACACAAAATAGGAAAAAAGAAAATTACTTGCAAAGACATAAAACTGTCACAACCTTTACCTTCTCTAGGGCATCTGTTCTTGCCAGAGGACACTAGTCTCTGAATATATACTGAATCCAGAGGGTGATGGGGTGTCATCTAAGGTTGTCATACCAGCCAAGTTGGCCCTCCCAAATGAAGACAACAGAAAGTCGTTCTCAGATCTGTAAACTCCCAGACAGCTGACCGCACAAGTGTGTTTCACTGTTATCCTGAATGATTTACATTTTCAGCTCATCCTTACTCCACCACCACACAGGAAGTTTCACTGGTGTCTTCATTTTATGGACTAGAAAGGTGTTGCAGTTGCTTCAGTAACTTGCCCAGAGCCTTCCCCTTCCAGAGTTAAAGTGCTCTACTATGCAGGAGAAGGACATGTCCTGATATTCTAGACACAGAGTTTTATGACCAAACAGGTTTTACTAGCTTTCACTTAAACTATCACCTGGGTCAAAATTTGTAGAAGAAAATACAATTACCCTTGAACAACACAGGGGTTCAGGTCATTGACCCTCCCAGTGGAGTCAAAAATCTTCATGTAACTTTTGAATCCCCAAAAACGTAACTATTAGTACCCTACTCTTGACTGGAAGCCTGAATTATTAATATAAATAGTTAATTAACATACTTTGTACATTACATATACCATATACTGTATTCTTATACTAAAGTAAGCTAGGGAAAGAATGTTACTAAGAAAACCATAAAGAAAAATACAGGGTGGCCATAAAGTTCATATGCAGTGTAGTGTGCAATTTAAAATTGTGCATGAATTATGGCCACCCTGAGAAGTAGATTGTCTAAAGGTCTTCATCCTCCTCATTTTCATCTAGGGAAAAGAGATTTGTCTTACTGTTTCAGGAGTGGCAGTGGGGAAGAAAGTCCATGTGTAAGTGGGCCTGCATAGTTCAAACCCATGTTGAAGAGTCAACTGTATTAGTCTGTGCTGCATCCTGGCATTGGGAAACCTAGTTATAGATACAAAAGTAGCTAAGCTACTTAAGAAATATAAACCATTTATTCAACATTTTAAAGTACCTACAAAGGTGATCCTGGCATTTGAGTTGTTTGCTGATAAGATAGCACATATATAAATAATTGCACGTGAACTTTATGGACATCTCGTATTTATCTCATTCTTAGAGCCCAGCAGTTGATAGCTGTTACCAGCTAGTGGGTTTCTTAAACGTTCTAAGAGAATTTTCTGTGTGTAGTGTAAGCCATGTCTAACAAGCCGTTTTTACCAGCTTGAGAAAATACCAACATGTAGTTTTTACACTTAGAAGAGAAAAAATGTATTTCTTTTCCTAATGATGGTGTTTGTTAGTTTGCCTTGTCAATTCAGTGAATATGTGCACAGTGTATGTGCACCTTCTATGTACACATACATCTAGTAGAAGGTAGAAATAAGAAAAACGACAAGGACACAGCACTGCCCTCAGGGAGCTCACCTGAATATAATGGGTAGAGATAGATACTTGCACAATTTACAATAAGGAGCAAGTCATGAGTGTTGCAGGAGAAATGTGACTAATTTTGTCCAAAGCATAGAAGGCTATTGCAGCCCTTAAGAAAGACTAGGTTATAAAAGTTGAGAGGTTTTATTATCTGTAAGTCTAGTTTGACATAACTAATCAAACGCCACTATTGCTTTAAGATTGTTTGTTTGGGAAATCTTGCACTCGACAATTCGTAAGATGAACAAACATGTTTTGAAAATCCAGAAAGAACTAGAAGAAGCAAAAGAGAAACTCGCAAGGCAGCACAAACGGGTAAGTCTTTTGTTGATCAGTAAATGGTTAAAAGATATAACAGAAACTCTGGAGAATATTCAAAGTCCACTACCTTGATGGCAGTTTATTTTTCTGAGTCCAAATAATACAGAGCTATTTGCAAACGTGGAGGAAGGAGTAGGTAGTATGCCGTGTGCTGTATACTGCATGATGAACTGTTTAGGAAGCTGCATACTTTGCTTTTCATAGTTCACCATCTCTGAGTTGGTCAGCTTCATGTCTGCACTTTCCAGAAGGGAAAAGGACACTTGTATATAGGGAGAAGATTGTAAATAACTTATAATTTTTTCAGAATTTTGGGGGGAGGGATGTGGGATTCCTAAGTTTACAAAATGCTTTTCATAGTAAAAAGTTTAGTCGTTTAACTATTTTGGAGAGAAGCAGTAAATTGGCTGCATTCTGTGACTGAACATAATACTACTGCTATTCTTCCCGATAGGATTTTCCACTGTTACTCATATTTACCAGAGGAGAAGGTAAAAACAGTCTTTATTCAAAGCTTTAGCAAATCTTAGTGCGATCTCCATGTAGACATGCATATTTGCATATATGGATGTAACATATTCATAGACTTAAAATACTGCAAATAAACCATGTCATCCCATTTTATAGTACAGTAGAACCTCCATAGTTGACCACATCCATGCATTGACCACTTCCTTGAGTTGACTTAATTTTCATAGACCAGACATGCACCACATGTAATCAATGGAAGTTTCTTATGTTGACCACCTCTGTATGTTGACCAGTTTGTTAACAGTCCCTTGGGTGGTCAATTTGCAGACATTCTATTATATATGAATTGAGACTAAGAGAAGTTAAGTAACTTGCTCAAGGTTGCATAGCTAGTAAATGACAGCCAGGTTCTGACCCAGGTCTGTCAACTTCAGAGTCTCTGATGCCATACCTGTTCCAGAAATGTGCTGTCCAGTACGGTAGTCACTATCTGCATGTGACTGTTTTAATTTAAATTACTTAAAATTAAATACAATTTAAAATTCAGTTCCTTTGTCACACAACCACATTTCAAGTGCTTAGTAGTATTGTGTCTCATGGCTTTGGTTACAGGCATGACATGTAACCTGTGGTTACAGGTTATAACATGTCACTTTGCAAGAAGGTCTGTTAGGTAATATGGCGCTACAACTTTACTTTAGAGTGATGTTAGGAAAAGATAATCATGTACCTACATACCTAGAACATAAAGTAGACCTCATAACAGGTGCTGTTTAGAGATAAGAAGCCAAATTCTATAAAATCAGAGAGGAGATTCTGAGGAAGCTGTCAATAGCTAGGGTGGCTCTTAGCATTAGAGTATTATCTAGAAGGATTATCAGGCTTTCTAGGTTTAGTGATACCACTTTCTTGCTGAAAAGACCTTGGTATATATCACACCTAGAGCCACACTTTACCACTTTATGGCTAGGTGATACTGAGAATATCATCTAATCTCTCAGCCTATTCCCTTCTCTGTAAAATGAAGGTAAGCCATGCCTTTCTTTTACCTTTTTTTAAAAAACAAAACAAATGCTATAAACTCTTCAGGAGGAGCTGGGAGGGGATACTAAAGCTCTCTAGGGGGTTATTGGGCTTACCATTCGTTGCCAGTTTTTTTGTTTGTTTGTTTGTTGCCCAGGCTAGAGTACGGTGTTGTCATTATAGCTGAAGTAGCAGGGTCTCCAGGCATATACCACTACACCTGGCTAAATTTTCAATTTTTTTTTTTGTAGAGAAGTGGATATAGCTGATCTCAAACTGTTGGCCTCCCAAAGTGCTAAGCCTATAGGCATGAGTGACTGTGCCCAGCTTCCAACAGAGATTCTTAAGCAGTCCACTTTGAATTATTCCGTGTCAGTTATAATAATTTCTAAATTATGTTAGGGATTGGCAACTTGTGGCTCATGAATTGCAAAAGGGCCTGGACAGCTTTTCCGTATGACCCATTAAGGAACAAAAGATTAGTACGCCGCCTCCCTATTGTTACTGTTCAGTTAATCAAAATAGTGATATTGAGCAGCTAAGAACCCCACCACTGTTACCGAGAGAAGTACCACTAAATTTCTGTAACCTAGGTAAGTACCCATGGAACCTTTGAGTGAGAAGACCACGTCTCTGAACCACAGCTGGGCTTTGAGGGGTGTGGCAGGGGGGTGAGGGAGAATGTCACTACAGTGTAAGTCTTCAAAGACTGTCTGACCAGACACAATAAAATCCTTCCCCTTGTTTGATGGGATTTAGAACACTGGAGTTAAATGTTATTTTCCTTTTGTCCCTTTGCTTTCTGTAGCGAAGTGATGATGATGACAGAAGCAGTGACAGGAAAGATGGGGCTCTTGAGGAGCAAATAGAAAGACTGCAGGAAAAAGTGGAATCTGCTCAGAGTGAACAAAAGAACCTCTTCCTGGTCATATTTCAGGTATCTGGCTTAGGACATGGACATGTAAAAGGAAAGAATGTATTTCTTTAGTATTAAAAAATGTTATTTTTAATCATAAAAGGAATACATGCACATCTATAGAAAAGTTTGAAAGTATAAAAATTTACAAGGGAAATAAAAGCCCACCACTTGGAGGCAACAATGTATACCTCTTGAGTTGTGCTGTTTATTTAGCATTCTTTCATGAACATTCTCCACGCTTTAAAAAGAATCGTGGGTTGCTTCTGTTCGGTAACTTTTTCATAGTTAGGCATTCCCTGCTGTTGATCATTTGGATAATTGAATATTCTTGTGCAGAGATCCCTGTTAACACTTCTGAGTATTTCATTAGAATAGATGCTGAGAAGTACTACTACTAGGATAAGTGTGACATTAAAGATTTTATGTATTGCCAGAAAGGATGTATCAGGTCACATTGTTACCAGTCTGCTTTTCTAGATGGACAGTATGAAAGTGAAGAGCCCTTGTCATAAAGACAGAGTGGAACAAGCAATACTTTGAGGCCTCTCATTAATTTGTTTCTCAAGTATAAAATTCTCTCTCTAATAATTCTTTAACTTTGTTCCCCCTTTCCAGCGTTTTATCATGATCTTGACTGAGCACCTAGTACGATGTGAAACTGATGGGACCAGTGTGTTAACACCATGGTATAAGAACTGTATAGAGAGGCTCCAGCAGATCTTTCTACAGGTTTGTGGGAAACTTTGATTAGACAGTAAAAATCACAAAGATATATTCCATTTGAAAACTCCTTGTCAGATTTGTCAGGAGGTTAGGTAGTACCAGTAGGTACTTTAGTTCGTGTCCATTTGCTGCTATTGTCGCTCATCAGAATATTTAGACTCAACCCAGGATAATCTCTGTACCTTAAAAAAAAAAAAAAAAAAAAAGGCTTGAATTAGTTCTGTGTTACTTAAACTCCTAATGGCCATTTTCTGTGTCAGGAAGCTGAACTGAAATATATAATGTAGAGGAAAAAAATGCTAAGGGAACAGTAATTGGGATTATAAAAGTCCTTTAAAATCTAAGGATTCAGATGTTAACAGTGCCCACAGAAGCAAAGTAAACTCTCTGAGGTGTCCCTGCAAAAGCAAAATGCCAGCACCCACTCTCAGCTAGAGTAAGTTAAAGGTACATAAAAGAGTGGAGCTAATTTTTTATTATTTCAGACACTAACCCCCTGCCCCCTACAATTCTCATTTGTTTGTTTTAGGAAAGAGTGATTAATGCAGAAGTCATTTTTTTTTTAAGTTAAATTCTTTAAATTCTTTCCCTCTAGCTTTTATACTTATTGCCAGTTAAAAATCTTTAACAGCATGTAGTCCTGTAGGAATCTCCAAGTATATTCAAATCTACATAGAAACACATAGAAGAGAGTTTTTCATTTTCTAACACTTCTTAGGTTAGTCTTTAGGTCAAAATTTTACAAAATGTTTCTCTACTGTTGATATATAAAAGTATTAAAAATATAAAATACTAGTTTGTTAATTTTCCTGTATATGGCAACCTGCGTTATGTCCTGACTGAGGAGAGACCTAGCTGAAGCTAGTCTGTATTAGTAGTAGAAATACCAGGCAGGTGCTGCTGCCACTGCCAGACTTACATTTACCGATAATTTGGTAAGAGCTGGATTTTTTTAGTTGCTGAACATCCATTTTTCTCACTTTTCTTACATTTTCTTAATGTGGGGGTTTTCGGGAGCCTATTGTTCCTATCCGTGCTATTTGTCTCTGCCTCTTCCCACAGCCTGGGTGGGCAGCTGAGGGAAATATACAAGATTGCTTGCATGCTTTTTCCTGACCTGAACACCCCATTTTTCTCTGTCCACAGCATCACCAGATAATCCAGCAGTACATGGTGACCCTGGAGAACCTTCTTTTCACTGCTGAATTAGACCCTCATATCCTGGCTGTGTTCCAGCAGTTCTGTGCCCTGCAGGCCTAAGGGTTATTTTTCCCCCTCTTGTCAAGATTTTTTAAAAATATCTTAAAATAATTTGTCTTATTTTTGATGGCTTGAATGCTTGCTTTCTTGTAGTATCCTTTCACTTCTTAAAGGAAACAAAAGGACAGTGAAGTATATGACTTTACTTTTAATTGCTTCTAAAAAGGAAATATCAACTAATGACAGTAATGTGAAAACAGCCATGATGTATTATATAAACGATACAACTTTTCTGTGATCAATTTGGTATTTTTTCTTTTTAAGGCACAAAATAACTGATTTAAGGTATGTGATACATTAGAGGTCAAGCTTACATAGTATATAGAACTGATGGATTTGTTACCAAGTAGCATAGCCTTTGACAGCTTGTGGATAACTTAACATGGCTGAAATAAAACTAAAAGTATGTTTTTTAAACTGGGTATTTCATGATTTATCATTTCAGTGTACTTTAAAATTGATGGTTTCTTACTGGAGGTGTATTCCATTTGAAATTATGTATTTAAAGTATTTTTCTTAAGTAATGAAATAGTTCCCAAATTTGTCTTAACATAAATCACCCAGGAATCTTTTTAAGAGTTTAAACCACACTATATGGAGGTGGACCACAGGCATCATCATTAGGAGTTAAAGCTCGCCCAGGTGATGCCAAGTTTGGTAACTATTATCTTAGAGCAGTGGTTCTTAACCCGTGTGGGTCATGACCCCTTTTTAACAATGAAAATACATTGCAGCATTAGGAAGGTTGAGAACCACTGTCTTAGAGCACCTGGTCACTTCCTGTAGTCTCTGAGAGGGATATTCAAAGGGCATATAGTGAGTTAAACTAAGGCAAAACTAGAGGTAGATTGGCTAAAACTGGGATTAGATGTGGGTTTAGATTTTTTCTATGGCACCTGGTCCAAATAACTACTACTAATTCCTGAGCCTGTCTTCTATATGGTGTTGAGACTTAACTGAGTTAAATAATATACAAATGTCAGGAGTCATCTGACATTCCATATATCTAGGATTTTTAGACATTTTTCATTAAATCTTAGAATAAACAACCAATAATCCTAAAACCTCTCGTACTTATTTTTGTGCATTTGTACGACATAGATATCTTTTTAATTGTTAACGTCCTAAGTTTATGATACATTGTTTTCCATCTTTTGATATTTTCTTTGGTTTATCATACTTCTTGGTAGCTATAGAATATAGTCCACTCAATAGATGGGTATTCTCAGTATTTTTAAATGCCATGCCATTTAAGATGGGCTATATAATATTCAGAACAATCAAGGTTATGTGGCAAGTTACTAGCAGAAAGAGGAGTAAAACCCAGGGTCTTGGTTAGATATTATCTGTATACTGTTCCTAATTCCTATGGCTTACACATAGCCACAAACTACGTAATTACGGTTGACCTTTCAACACCAGTTTGAAAGCATAGGTCCACTTTCACACGAGTTTTCTGCCACCCCAGCCTACTCAGTGTGACAATAAGCATGAAGACCCTTATGATGACCCACTTCCACTAAATGGATAGTAAATATTTTCTTAACATTTCCTTGGCAGTGTTCTTTTCTCTAGCTTACTTTATTGTAAGAGTACACTATATAATATACATAACATATAAATGAAGTGTTTATCAATTCTTTGTGTTCAGTAAGGCTTCTAGTCAACAGTAGGTTATTAAGTTCTGGAGTAGTCAAAATTTATATGTGAATTTTTGTGTAGGCGGTTGGCACCCCTAGCCCCCTGCATTATTCCAGGGTCAACTTCAGTTTGACATGACTCCTGTCCTCAAGAAGCCAAAGAATAATCTCTAAGGCACTAGTAACTTAATTTGATCCAAACTGCCTTGTAATCCTTTGACAAGGTACTGCAAAGTTTGGCTAGTTATACTTGATCTACATTCTAAAGAGATTTGTAAGTTTACATTCCTTTTAACTGACCCTCCCTTTGTGTATAATGGTTGCTTCTAACAACTATTCATTGATCTGACTCTGCTCTGTTCCAGTCTAACAGGTTAGGTATATAGAAAATCTGAAGTAGGGATTGAATTTTGAAGAAATGAATATGAAGAACAAATGTAATAGTTGTTCTCCCCACTAATGACACACAGACAAAAGGATGGCATGTCACTGTACATCATACCTTGCAATACATTAATATTCTGTTAAATTCTTCTAATGCACTTTAAAATGCTTTTGTCAGAGGGAACATACATTGTTTTCCTAATCTATAATTATATCTAAAAATGCAAAGTGAAGAAAGACCTTGCCAACCTGTGGGTGGAACAGATTTGGCTGTCAGTGATATCTGACTACCTCGTTTAAAAAAAAAAAAAATCAAGACTTGAAAATGCATTAAACATTTCAATGCATATTTATGTAGAGAATATTTAGTAATCGTATCTCAATCCTAACTATTTGGCCTTGACTTGCTTTGATTTTGCCTTTCTCTCTCCGTCAGCTAAAGAGAAAAGTAAAAATGTATAGACTTCCTGTTTCTACTATTTGTCCTGTAGGGTAAAAAGTCATGTCAAATCATTTGAAAATTTCCAGTTCATCTTAACTTGTATTTATTTTTGTAAAAAAAAAAAAAAAATTACCTTGTAGTCAAGCTACTTTGTAATTCTTTTGCAAGACTCAAGAAAATTTTTCCAGCTAAACTTGGACCAAATGCTGCCTTGGGTGTTGAGGTTGTAGGTTGTAACTCCTGCCCTTATTTAGATAAGCATGGAAGCACGCTATCCTCTCTCCCAGGACTAGATGCTAACTAACCATAAAGCCCTTATCATGGTGCATCCTGGGCACCTGGTAAATGTTAGCAGTACTTAAAATAAACTTATTAGCACCTTCTTCGATGAATAATCAGATATTCAACCTCAAAGATAGCTGGTTTCCATCTTAATCCAACATTTGAAAAGGGCTGACTAGACATAATGTCAACTATAGTCATGTCTCTACCTCATGAGGATCAAAATAGTCCTAAAAACCCTGACCTAAATCTGGTGTTTGCCTTGGTCTCTTATTCTCCAATTTGTCATTTTGACCTACCACTTTTGAACCTGCACTTACTTATCTCCCATCCCTGCTGTAAAAAAGCAGTCACAATCCTGACAGACCTGATAATCTGTGTACTACCAGGCCAGCTAAAACTTTAGCTCTCAAGCCATAATATATGTGATTATTACTTAAGCATTATTTATGTGCATATATTTAATTCACTTATGAAGACATCATGTTTTAGGGAATTCTGAACAGGACCAATCTAAATTTCCTTTATTTAAGTATAAAATTCTATAAAATGGATCACTGAACTAAAAATCACATTTTTTCATATGTCAGTTCATGGCCACATGTAGTACAAGTCTTCCGGTACGTGTCATCGTCTAGGTTTTCTTCTGGTCCATATTCATGTTGATGAGCAATTGTTTCCTTTTTCCACAAACTGCTCCTTACTGCTCGCCGCAATTCTAAGAAAAAAGTTTTTCAGAGGTGCTATTTAGCTGAATCCAAAAATAAATGCATCAGTCTTTCAGTCATGTGTGCATCTAAACCCTGTTTTATGACCTTAGTTTTCTAACAAATCAAAATTATTGTAAGCTTACTTTCGTACTTCACCAGCTTGGCCAGTGAAACTGTTCAAGTTGGAATAGTATAAAATGAGATTGAAATGGGTATGTGGGTTAAAAGAACAAAATTCAGAAATGAGAGGAGTAACAAATGGGTACGTTTAGACACATCTGACTTCAGATACGAGGGTGCCAGAGTAGGAAAGGGAAGTCAGTTAAGATAAGTAAGAAGTACTTTTAGCTCTGTGTTTGTAAGTCAGGAGCTACTTCTGTAAGAGGTAAGCCAAGTTCTGCTTGCAAGAAAACTAGAAAGCCAAGAACTCTATGCTGATGTGTTTTCACCTTAGAAAATGTGCTCATGCCAGTGAACTCCAAAGAATACTAAGAGCTGGAAAGAAACATAAAGAGTTTTTGTTTTACTTCATTTTATTTTGCAGGTAGGGAAACTCAGCAAAGATAGCACTCAAACCCAGGTCATCCTATTCCAATGTCAGGAGCTTTTTCTGCTTCCTAATTATGCTAGAGTCTTTGAAAACAACTAAGTCAAATCATATTTTCAAAGTTCACATTGGGTATTACCTTAAGAAGCCAAACACTTAGTGCTAATTGTAACTTAACAAGCTGGTAACATCTCAGTTTCTACTTTAATGAATAAAAAGCAACAGTAATTGTTTACATTTCTGTTCTCACCAGTGATCCACCAGCTCACCACTCACTGTCTTGGACAGTAGCACTACCTGAGATAGGTGAGGACAGCTGAATAAATACCATGGATAAATATCAATAAACACCAAGTAATCACATTTCCCAAATCCATTTAAGATGTATGATAAGTAGGTCTTTGATACTATGAATAGTATAAAATACTTATTTTTCCCCCCTGAGAAAGAGAGTCTCACTTTTCTGCCCTTTGTAGAGTGCCGTGGCATCATAGGTCATAGCAACCTCAGTCTCTTGGGCTCAAGCAATCCCCTTGCCTCAGCCTCTGGAGTAGCTGAGCTGAACTATAAGCACTAGCTACAATGCCCAGCTGTTTTAAGAGATAGGGTCTCGCTCTTGCTCAGGCTGGTCTCAAACTGCTGAGCTCAGGCAATCCACCTGCCTTGGCCTCCCAGAGTGCCAGGATTACATATCGAGAGAGAAAAGCAAACACATGGGGGCATGTACCAGGGACTGTTCTAAGCACTTAACTATGTTGAATTTTCACAACCCTTTCAGATTAAGTGGAACTATTATCCCAGTTTCACAGATGAGAAAGCTAAGGCACAGAGAAGTTGCCCAAGATCAAGCAGCTAGCTGATGACAGGTACAGTCTAGCTCAGGTCTATGTTTGTAATTGTTAAGCTGAGCTACCCTTTTCACACACACCTCCAGGATAAAAAATACTTTGAGATTATTTTTAAACTTCAGAGCTTGAAATACACCTTTAGAGCAGTGTTTTTCATCTTTTTTACCTCAGGGCACACTTGAACCTGTAGTCAAAACTTCCATGGCACACTTAAATTATGTTGATCAAAAAAAGTTAAAAAGAATATACGATGATTTAATACCAAGGGGGAATGAGGGAGAGGGGAAGAGGAAGGGAAATGGGAGATCATGGTGCATGGCACACCTCTTGGGGGCGGGACACAATTATAAGAGGGACTTTACCTAACAAATGCAATCAGAGTAACCTAATTCTTTGTACCCTCAATGAATCCCAAACAAAAAAGATTAGGATCAAAGAGAATATACTTACTAGACTTTGAACTTCTTTTGGAAATAATTTAATTAATGATCTTTAAAATTTTTTGCAGCAAGTTGGTTGAAAAATCAATGCTCTGGGCTCGGTGCCTGTGGCTCAAGTGGCTAA